AAAAAAAATTTTTTTTTTTTTTTTTTTTTTTTTTTTTTTTTTTTTTTTTTTTTCATTTTATTACAAATATAATTTTCATATGACTTTATTATGATTATTTGAAACAGAAGTATTTTGGTTAGTTATTTAAATTACAAAATACATTATATATATAAGCTAGTAAGGATTAATATTATCATTTTAAAAAAATTGTTTAAATGAGGATAAACATTATAGTTAAAACTTTATTACTTTTTTCTCAAAAAAAAATTAAAATTTAGTAAAAAAAATAACCCTTTTAAAAGAATATACTACAATATTTATCAGTGTTATATTTATTGATGCATTTTATAGAAGTTTGAAATATTACTTTATTAAATTATGTCAAATATAATTAGTAATAGCTTTATTGAGGACAAGAGCCTAAAAACATAAGCTCTTCCAAAAAATAAAATTTATGGCTAAAGCTCAAAATTTTAGATAAAATCTTAAAATATGTAAAAAAAAAAAAAATAAAATCTATTATTTTATAAATACAAAAAATAAAAATCATGATATTAACTACTTTTATATTGAATTATAAACAATACTTTAAGAAAAGAAGACAGTTTATTTCATTATTTAGTTGTTTTCATCAAAATATAAAATTAGAAGAGTAATTGGGATAATTTATATATCTTGAGGAAATACCACTATTTTAATATACATATTTGTGACTATTTAAACTTATCCTTTTAAAGTTATTTTGATAATACTTATTTGTATGTTTATTATTATATTTATTTATTAAATTATATATTTTTATATATTATTACTACTTCTTTGATTATTTTTTTTTTTTTTTTTTATATTTTAGATACATGAAATTCATAATATATATTTTATTATAATAACTCATTTTTGCATATTTTATTTTTTCTTTGTTATTATTATCGTTTCCTTTTTATTTTATTTTTTAATATATTTACGAATGCTAATATATGTATTAATAAGAAAAATAAAATAAGAGTTAGCTTTCATTTAAAATTTAGTGATGGACTATACATAAGAAAATAAAATGGTAAAATAAAATTTATACTTTGCAATTTACTATTATAACAATCATTGAAATAATTTTTTAAATTATTTTCTTTTATTTTTTTATATATGAATTTATTGTGTTTTTATTCATGTATTTATTAAAATACTAATTTTCTTATATTTTAAAATTTCCTTTTAATATATCATATATATATATATATTTATATATATAATTTTTTTTTTTTTATTATTACATTAATATTCCTTTAAATTATAATACTTTAATATATTGCGGATGTCTCATAATTTTTTTTCTTTAATGAGTTATAATTCGGATGAAAATTATTTAAATATCATTTTAGAATTATGTTATCAATATATCGTTGTGATACATAAACAAGTTTTATAAAGAAATATGTTTGAATAAATATATATATGTGTATTTTTATGAAGATAATATATTATTGTATATGAATATATAAATATATTAATATATATATATATATATATATATATATATATATATATATATATATATATATATATATATATGTAAATAAATAGACAGTTAATATTAAATTTATTCTAAAAAACAAAAAAACTATGAGCTTTAGTAATTCAAGATCTCCTTCTAATAATAATAGTAGTCAAGATGCCACATCTGGTAAGTTACAATACACTGAAAGTGATGATGAAGGTAGTGAAGAATATTGTAAAGGTGGTTATCACCCAGTAAAAATAAATGAAATATATAATGAAAGGTATAGAATAGAAGGAAAATTAGGGTGGGGTCATTTTTCAACAGTTTGGGTTGCAACTGATTTAAAAAGTAAACCATTAAAGTTTGTCGCTATAAAAATTCAAAAAGGATCTGAAACATACACAGAATCAGCAAAATGTGAAATAAATTACCTAAAAACAGTTAAAGTAAATTCTTTTGATTCTTCATGGGTAGAATTAAAAGAGCAACAAAGAGAAAAATTATTGCATTATAATATGACTAAAGGTGTTGTTTCGCTTATTGATCATTTTGAGCATAAGGGCCCTAATGGTACTCATATATGTATGGTTTTTGAATTTATGGGGCCTAATTTATTATCCTTAATAAAGCATTATGATTATAAAGGGATTCCATTAAATTTAGTTAGAAAAATTGCTACTCATGTTTTAATAGGGTTGCAATATTTGCATGATGTATGTAAAATAATACATAGCGATATAAAACCAGAAAATGTTTTGGTATCACCTTTATCCAATATTCCTAAACCAAAAGATTACAGTAAAGACAAATTAATAAAAATAAACGAAAATGAAGAAAATAAAGAAACAAAAAGTGAAATAAAAGAAAATAAATTAATTGCAAAAGATGGTATAGAAAAATGTGAAATTGAACAAGAGCAAGAACAAGAACAAGAACAAGAAAATGAAATAGAAAAAGAAATAAATAAAAATGAATGGGATCTCATTGATTGGAACAAATTAAGTAAAAATGAAAAAAAAAAATTAAAAAAAAAAAAAAAAAATTTTCTCAAAAGAGAGAGATTAAAACAGGAATTATTAGATAAAAATAGAGAAATGAATCAACCAACTACAAATACGTCTTCAGATAAGCTAAACAATAACGAAAAAAATATTATACATTTAAATAATGTTAACAAAAATGATGATAATCAATTTAAAAAAGAAGATATAGAAAAATTAAATAATAATCAATTAAATGAAAATGAACATTCAAAGAAAACAGTAGAAAATTACTGTAAGAATACATATAACAAAAATCATATGAACGTAACTTCTGACATAAATATCAAATGTAATTCTAATAAAAGTAACGTTATAGAATCATTTAATGATAATAATATTTACTCATCTAGTATAATTCATAATAATGCTATTAAAAATGAAAAAATTGAAAAATCTGAATATGTAGAAGATAAATATGATAATTTGAATAATGCAATTTTAGATCAAAGTACTCCATGTAATCAAGAAATGAAAAAATATACGAAGGAACACATATTACTTGAAGATAAAGAAAAAAATTTAAATAATAAAATTGATGAACAAAGTTTAAATAAATATAAAATTTTTAACGAACCCCCCTATATAAAACATATGCTTAAGCCTTCTAATTCAGATCCTTCCCTACTTACTTCTTATAATAATGTACATGCGTTACAGGAAGCATTAACAAAAAAGCCATACCACTTTAATAACTACTTTTTATATAACCCAGAGAAATATGGAGATAATAAAATGTCCCTTTTTTTACATAGATTACCAAATGATTATTTGAAAAAAAATGCTATAAATGATGATGTAGAAGGTTTACAAAATAGCGAAAGTGATATTTGTGATGATGAAGAACTCCTAGAAAATGATATTAATAAATTTCCCCTTTATTGCGATATGTTTAATCACTTAATTCACCCAGAAGCTTTAAAACTTCATGAATTATATAAAAAAAACAAAAAAAATAAAATATCAGAATATCCAGTAAATGCAGTAGATAGTAACGAAAATACTCATAAAGTTGTTTATATAAAAACAGAAGATGGGGACTATTGCATTAGACCCTATGATCCTTCCGTTTATTGTCACGAAAAATCTTGTTATAAAATATGCGATTTAGGAAATAGCTTATGGATAGATGAATCAAGGTTTGCTGAAATTCAAACAAGACAATATAGAGCTCCTGAAGTTATACTAAAAAGTGGATTTAATGAAACAGCCGATATATGGTCTTTTGCATGTATGATTTTTGAATTGGTAACTGGAGATTTTTTGTTTAATCCCCAAAAGACAGATAGATATGATAAAAACGAAGAGCACCTAAGTTTTATAATTGAAGTTCTAGGAAATATACCAAAACATATGATTGATTCAGGATTTAATTCCCATAAATATTTTAATAAAGACACATATAAACTTAAAAACATTACAAATATCAAGAGATATGGATTACATAAAATATTGAAATGTAAGTATAGAATTCCAGAGAAAGAAATTAATCCTCTATGTAGCTTTTTACTACCTATGCTTTCCATTGATCCTCAAACAAGGCCGTCAGCATCAACCATGCTTCAACATCCGTGGCTTAATATGGTAGCGTTAGAGGATGATGAAATATATATTAAAAATAGTTCACCTTCTTTTAATAACATTTATATAAAAAATAATTTAAATTATGATATTTATGAAAGTTCCAACAAAAGTATAAATTCTTCAAATAATCAAAATATTCATGAAGATTTTAGAGATTTTAATAATAGTACTTTTGTACATTTAGAACAAGAATCACGTAAAGGTGAAGATTATGATAGTGAATATGAATATCCTTTTTTTTATCAAAAAAGTTATAATTACGATGCAAGTGAATTATCCAAAGTAAATTATGATACTAAGTATGCCAAAAATGTAAAAAAGAAATTGACTATCAAATCAAAAAATAAAAAAGAAAATTATTCAAAATTAAGAGATAGTTCGATTAATACAGATGATTATATATTAAACTCAGAATATATCTCAAATGCTATTGATCATAATTCATACAACAAACTTTTAAAAAATACTGCACCTTATAAAAAAGATAAAATAAAAGATTATAAAAGAATAAATATACATAATGAAACAATGCAGAATGAAGAAAATAATTATAGACACTATTATGAACAAGGAGATGGATGCAAACGTGAAGAATATGCTGATAAAAGCGAAAACGTAAAACAAAAGGAAGAAGATGAAGATGAAGACGAAGAGGACGGAGAAGAGGATGACGAAGAAGAGGAAGAAGAAGAAGAGGATGAAGAAGAAGAGGATGAAGAAGAGGAAGAAGAAGAAGGAGATGAAGAGGAGGAAGAAGAGGAAGAGGACGAGGAAGAAGAAGAAGAAGAAGAAGAAGAAGAAGAAGAAGAAGAGGAAGAAGAAGAGGAAGAGGAAGATGAAAACGAATATCAGGATAAAAATGAAAAATATGATGTAAATAAATATGATAATAAGAGTGGCGATAATAATCAATATGAATACGAAAATAATGACAATTATCAATATGAAAACGAAAATAATTTTGATGCATGTTGTGATGATAAAAACATATATGAACAAGAAGATATAGAAATAGATACGGATGAAGGAGAACAAAAAGAACAAAAACAAAAACTAGAACGAGAATTGAAAACAGAAGTATTATGTGAAATTGAGGGAAGAAGTATTATTAACAATAAAATGAAAGAAAATATAGATAATAAAGAAAAAAAAGTAAAAGATAATAATAAACTATATGAAAAAATATCTAACAATCTTGAACATAAAAAAGAAGAAAATAAAACAATGAATGATGAAATTATAAATGAAAAAAAAAAATTAATAGAATCAAAGGAAATAGAACAACATAATAAATTCACTAAAAATGTAAGTAATATTATGTTGAATTGTAATGCAAGCACATCATTAAATAAATGTGATCATATAGAAAAAAATCAGATGACAATAAAAAAACAGCAGGAGAAAATATTACATGAAGAAAATAAAATATTAGACAATCGTGATGAGGAAAAAGCAAATAAAATAAATTGTAAAATTATTAATAAAAATACTTTTTGTGATATTTCAAAAAAAATAAATTTTTTAGAAGCAAAAAATTCATTAGAATTTATGAATCAATAAATGCAAACAATTAATTTTTTTTATAAAATCTTTAAAAAACATGCAAATTTTAAGAATTTGAATACTCATATTAATATATTTTTTTATTATTCTCCTTTGTTTTTTGTATAACTCATACATTTAATGTTAACATTTTGTAATATTAATAATATTAGAATAGATATCTTAGATTAGTTTTACTTTTATTTTTTATATTAAAAATCTTCATTGGTATTGAATTATTAATGTTTATTTATATGATTTGAAATATTATTAATATTAAAATCAGTAACGGGTCTCAATACATATATTTATATATTTTTTTCTTTATTTTTTTTTAAGCAAAATTGTAAAATACATACATAATTTTCTATTTTTATTATGAATAACTTAATAATCACTGAAATGCAATATTCAATTATATAAATATTTATATAAATGAGCATAATTATTTTTAAATTAAAATATCAGCAATATAAAAAAAAAAAAAAAAGAAAATTTTTAAAATAATAGAAATAAAAAAAAAAAAAAAAAAATAATAATAATAATAATAATAATAATAATAATAATAAATATAATAATAATAAAAATAATAATACTAATAATAATAATAAATATAATAATAATAATAATAATAATAATAATAATAATAATAATAATAATAATAATAATAATAAAAATAATAATACTAATAATAATAATAATAATAGCATATGCATTATTTTATTGAAATATCCGTGCATATTACTTTTATTCTTTTAAAATTAAAAGCTTCATAAATATTTTCATTCGATTTTTACTTAACGTATGTTTTTGCACCGACAACTAAAATTGTTTTTGAAATTTATTAAAAATGTTTAGATAAAACTAAAAAAAACAAAAATAAATTATATTTAAGTATATATATATATGCCGATAAAATAAATATCAAAAATTTTTAAAAAAAGAATTTTACTGCGGATACTTGCATAATTACCAAAAAAAAAAAAAAAAAAAAAAAAAAAAAAAAAAAATTACTAAATGTATTACATGCTTACGTTTTTACCATTTTTATGTGTTGATCAATTAAAGTTCTAAAAAAGTTTGTAAACCTAGAAAAATAAAAATAATTGTCTAGTGAAAAGAATGATTAACAAATGTTTATTCATTTAAAAATTTTTCATTAAAATACAAATATTTTTTAATTTTTTTTTTTTTAACTGTAATAAATTTAGAAAAATTAATGTAAGATATTAAATTAAAGTAATAATATGTAGAATATAATATATAAAATGATAGTATTTCCCAATGCACCAATATTCATTTTATTTTTTCTTTTAATTTTAAGTGAAAATATAAATTGTATTAACAAAAATGAAAACATCACCCAATTAAAACATATGATAGATAATAAAGTGCTACATGATGATTTATTAGAATTAGAAAGACTAATACTACAATCATTAGAATTAGATGAGTTAAAACTGCCTATATTAAAACCAGAAACTACAAAATATATTAATTTATCTAATTTTGAAAAAATAGAAATAGTAATTAATAATGATGAAACTTATAATTATATTATACCTACATTTAAAGCTAATGCTGAAGATTTAATAAAATATGAACATATTACAAAACAACAACTTATAGAATCTCATAATTCTGAAAACTCTGTTTTCATTAAAAGAAAAAATGTAATTTTGAGAACTTTAAGAATAGTAAAATTTATGTTGACACCAATGGAGGCTTATAAAAATACACAACAGTTAAAAGATTCATTAATTGCATTAAATAATATTTTCAGAGATCCAAATGAAGAAATGGAAGAATCATCTACTTCATGCATGTATGAATTTAAAAGAATTTTTTTATTCAAAAAAATGAGAAAAAAAAAAAGATTAAAAATGTTTCCACGTAAAACACTAGACGATAACAAAGAAGATATACTTAATTCTAAGGATTTATTTTTTACAACTCATCCGAATATTGATTATATGATAAAATTAGACAAGTTATCTAATTATTATAACTTAGGGTTATTTAATTTAGTTGGTTCTAATCTTATAGGTACTCTCCTTTTTTCATTTCTAAATTTTTAATAAATTATTTTCTTTATTTTTTTTTTTTTTTTCATATAAAATTTTTTTTTTTTTCTCTTTTAAGCGCTGGGACATTTTATTGTCTTAAGATTAGCTCTTAAGGAATTTCATAAATATTTTGAAACGATGGAATTGAAATTTTTTAGCTGGCAAAAAATTTTAAATTTTAATATGTCAGATAGATTTAAAGCAATAGATTTAATGTGTAGTTCAGGAATAACTTACGAAGCAGAAACAAAAAGAAGAAAACAATATTTAAAGGTTAGTAGAAGATCATCACCTGAAGAATGTAATATATTAGAACTTATAATTCATTATTTAAATAAATATCAAATGGAATTAATTACCAGCGCATATCAAGTTAATTTAAAAATTCATGCTTTACTAGAGCATAGTCATATAAAAGAAGAATTTTTCAAATTTATGTGTGATAATAATAACATTAATTGTAATATATACGATAGCCATAAATTTACAAGTGAATATTATAAAAAGATTCCTTCAGAAAGTGACATTTCTGAAAGTCCATTAATAAATCCATACAATATATATGTAAATTTTTTGTATTTTATAAAACGTTATAATTATTTTAGTCACAAAAATATTTTGTATGTTCACTTTTTAAACCTAACTGGAATCTTAAGTAATTTTTATCTATGTTTACGCATTTTTTTTTTTTTTATTTTATTGTGTTTCCTATTAATTTATTATCCCTCTACGTTTTTAAATGTTATTAGATTTTGAGAGTAAGGCTTTTGTTAGCTCCCTATATCTACCAGGATATTTTAATGGTAAAAAGGAAAATTAAAATAAATAGAAGGAAAATAAAATAAAAAAAAAAAAAAAAAAAAAAAAAAAAAAAAAATCAAATTAATCTTGATATATTTTTATTTGACTTATAGCTATTGAATTATCCTTTGACGAAAAATCTAAGATCATGGAACTATATGATTATTTGTTAGAATGTAAGTTTAAAATATTTAATAAAAATGTTATTTTTAGTTATATTTAATAAAGAAAAAAAAAAAAAAATTACAATTAATATTCCATATATATATTACCAAATATTTTATTTGATAAAATCTTAAAATATTTGTAATATACAGGTGTAGAATTATGCCACAAAAAAGATAAGAAATATAAAATATTATCATACGATATTGACTTATTATTAAAGGATGAAAAAAGTCATTCACCAAAATGTAATATGTGTCAAGGAACACTATTTTATATCAATAGTAATATTAATAAAAAAAACAATATAAATTATATTTGACTTCTTTTTTTTTTTTTTTTTTTCCATGATTTTTTATTTGTTTTTTTTAATTCATATGTTAGGTAAAAGTGAGGAAAATGTTTCTATGTTTCAAAAATTTTATACTTATGTTACGGAAGTTGTTAAAGTAAATAATATAAGTTCGCTAATAAAAGATATGAACGTTTATGAAGATTATGATAATTTTTTAACTAACGATATAAATTGGTATACTTTTTTACTATTATTTAGGTTTAGCACTTATAAAGGTAATTAAAGTAAAAAAAAAAAAAAAAAAAAAAAAAAACATTTAATTCCTTTATAATATATTGAAGTTATTGGGAATATATCAAATGACATTAATAATATAGAAATCTATGCAACAATTAGAAATAAATAATTAATCATAGATACAATTTTTTTCATTGTATTTATATACACAACCATCTACATATTTATATATTTATTTATACAGAAATTGCTCATAAAAACTTAGCTGAAGCTATGTATCTAAATTTAAAAAAAGAAGATAAATTTAAAAGGACTATTACTACAAGTTATTGGTTTCCTTCCCCAATAAAGAAAGCTTATTCCTTATATGTCAGAAAGAATAAATCTATGAATTTAGTAGAGAGTAAAATATAAAAAAATAAAAAATGATAAAATGAAATTATGTAAATATATCACTTCCTTTATTTCTTTCTATTTTTTAATATTTTTATATTTGTTATACAAGTTTATTTCTCATATATATGTAAATATTTCTTTAGAGTTAGAAGGATTATTAAGTAGTGGAGCTATAGAGAAAATGAAAAAATGTATACAATTTGTCGTCCATGTAAATTCTTTTCTACAGTTAGATTTTTTTTATTACCTTAATGAACCTCCCCTTGGAGAACAGCGTATATATCCTTTGTCTATGATGCTTGAACATAAATTTAAAGAGTGGCATGATAATTCCTCAATGGGTTATTTTTTTTTAAACTATGAAGATGAGGATATGAGAAAACAAATAAAAGAGAAAATAAGGAATGGACAGATTGTAATACCCAAATATAGCAAATGGATCCTTATCTTAAAAAAATATATTGAGAAATCATATGAATCATATTTTAATCAAAGAAATGTAAAAAATTTATATAAATATCACAATGATTATAATTCAAATAGTAAGATAATGTTAATGAAAGACTCATATGATTTATATTCGAAAAAATATGAAGATATAATTTTTTTTGCAGACATATTTAATTTAAGAAAATATCTAACAGCTACTCCTCGAGCAAAAAAAAGAAGAGATAAATTGTATTATTATATAAATACCATTGCTGGTAATACTATTAATCTTTATAAATACGGTATTATGTATGGATTTACGATAAATAAAATATATTTGAAGGAAATGACAGATGAATTATTTGCAATTTATAAGATGAATATAGATACATTTTCAGATATTTCTTTTTTGCAAACAGTTTATTTACTTTTTAAAAAAATTGAAAATAGTTATAATGAGCATAGGAGAAACGATAAAATGGTAAGATATATAAGTAAAAGTTTATTTATGTATTAAATTTTTTATCCTTATTTATATGTTCAAAGTGTCTATATATAACATATATGTTATTACATTTATTTTTATTCTTTTATTTTTTAACAGAGTATGAATAATGTATTTTTTTTTAATGTTAGAAGAGATTATTCTAAATTGAACAAGCAGGAAAGAGAAGAAGAGATCAATGCTTCTATGGCATCTAAATATTTTTCAAAAACATTATTTTCTGTTTTCCAAATGATGTTTTCTGTAAAATTAAGTAACAACGCTGAATATCTTGATAGAAAATATGGAACTGATAGTATGATTGGATTAACAGTACATGAACAACCATTTTATAGTTTAGCGTATGCATATTATGGTAGTTTGATGGACAATTTAACAAATAGTCTTTTGCCTATATATGCAAAAAAACCAATAACTCAATTAAAGTATGGAAAAACATTTATTTTCTCTAATTTATACAAATTGTGTTATCATATATATTCAATACTAAATTTGAATAATTTAAGTCTTTTATGTGAAAATCAAGCTATAACTAGTTCTAACTATTATTCATCTAAGAAGTTAGCTCAATTTATAGATAGAAAATTTATACCTATTGTTGCTACTTTTTTTGTGCTTAGAGTTAATACTGTTATAGAAGAGGCAAAAACTACACCAAAACCATACTTAGATCAATTTCTTTGGCCAACTAGTGCCGTACCTATTACCTTTTTAAGTATATATATGGCTACTAATACGTATCTTGGAAATGATAGATTTTTTCCTTCAGGATTTAATGAATACTTAAGAGGGCAAACGGAACATGTTGCACACCCACGGCCCACTCCTAAACCATCTGTTCACTCAATTACCAAGAAAACAATGATTGGAGTAATTAACGGTGTAGCTATTACCGTATTTATGCATCACTTTATGAGATGGTTTGCTTTTTATGAAAACTTTGTTTATGTATTTGTAAATAATGTCCGTGTATTTGAAAGATTTTTTAAAGCAATTGAATATCATATTGGAAATTTTATAAGATCAAATTTTAAAAGATTGACTACTGATGCTTTATTAAATTCAATGGAACGCGCTTATAGAGCTATAAAAAATAAAGGCTATCACAAGGAAGCTATGGAAGCTAGACTTTCTGCTAAAAAAGTTAATAAACGATCAATATTAGGAAACTTTGAAGAAAATGTAGCTTCTCTAACACCACAAGATATTGAAACCTTGTTAAAAGATGAAAACTTTTTATATGTAGATGATAGTTCTTTCTTTGAGGAATCAGATGAAAGTGAGAGTTTTCTAAATGAGAGAAAAACTGTATGTTATAGAGAAACAGATAGAAATAATTTAAATTTAATACCTTATACACGCTGGACACAAAGAGAAGCAAGTGATGATTCTACTGATGCCACAAGTTCAAAATATGAAAAACAAAAAAAAAAAAAGAAAGTTAAAAAAAAAAGGAAAAATATAGATGAAAAAAGTCTAAGTGAAACAGAAGATAATCAAATTGATGAAATAATGATGATTTCAAGAAGAGCTAGTAGTGAATCAGAATATATTGATTATGACCGCTCTAGTACATATTGTACTAAAATATAATGTTTTATTTTTCCATTTAATAAATTAAAAAATATTATGACATCACAATAAACTTGAATTTAAATATAAAAGAAAGATTAGTAAATTTATTCTTATTTTATATAAATAATTTCTTCAAATGGGGATTTTTTTTGTATGTTTTTCTTAAAACATTCTTACAACATTAATTCTTTTTTTTTTTTTTTTTTTTTTTGTAAATTTTTTCGTAAGAATTATTTTTATTATTTTTTTTTTAATAACCTTCTAATATAACATGAAAAATTAAATTTTAAATTTTAAGATAAAAATATAAAAATTCAGTGTAATGAATATTTTTTTCTTCTTTAGTCAGAATGAAAAATAAATGGTTATAAGGTAATAACTCAAATATTGTTCATGCACATATCAATAAATTTTTAATATATAGAAAAAAAAAAAAAAAAAAAATAAATAAATAAATAAATAAATAAATAAATAAATAAATAAATAAAATATGAAAAAGCATTCTTTAAATTTAAGATGAAAAAATGAGCTAAAATTAGAATATTTGTATTAATATATATTTTTGTTTTTCCTTTTATTCTTATGCTAATAAATTATTTTTTATTTTTATATTTTATAGAAGTAGAAAAAAAAAAAAAAAAAATACTATTATGTATTTAGTATTTTTTAAAAATAAAAACATAGAAAATACTAAATACAAAATTAATTTTGAATTTTTTAATATTATGTGGAAGTTAAAATTATTTAAGTATTAAGTTATTATTAAATGAAGAATTTAAGAAAATGCATAAAGTACAAAGAAATTAAAAATAAAAAATATAGTGATGTGGAAAGTAAATTAAAAAAGAAAAAGAAAAAGAAAATAAACAAAATTCTCATATTGTAATTAATTATAATAATATAAGGTTAGAGCAATAAAATCTATTATATAAAATAAAGAAAAAAATAAAATTTGAATTATAATAAATTATGATATAGGAATATTAATGTATGTAAATAAATGATAAAAAATATTATAATTTTAAAATAATGAAAATAAATTCTAATGAAATTAGAATAAGTTATATGCCATTATAAAGACAAAAAAAAAAAAAAAAATAAAAATAATAATAAAAAATACAGTTTAAAAAACATGAAATTCTTATGTAATTTAATATTTTTTTACTTTTTAAGTTGTTATTTAAGTAAAAATTTATACAAAAATAAATATCTATTTAAGCAAAATAAAAAAGGAAGCATATTTTCTATAAAATGTCGTAAAAAACATATAAAAAAAAGGGATACTAATATACATTTCTATAATTTCTTACACCAAAATAAAGCTTTGCATGAAAAGAAAAATTATAAACTTACTTTTAGTAAAATTAATTATAAATCAAAAAGAAAAAAAATTATTAATTTCTTAAGAATTGTGAAATTAAATGATTTAAAAAAAAATAATGATTTTTTATTTTCATTAAACAGTAGGAAACATAGTGAAAAATCAAATAGGAATTTGTTGTCTAGTTTATTTTGTAAAGCTTTGGAAAAGAGTAAAATCAAAAGTAATTTGTTAAATGATGCAACAAAACTATTTAGAATAATAAGAGAAAGTAAATATATTTTTGCTACAGGATTTCTATTAACTATTGTATCTTCAATTGTAGATTCATATATTCCTATATTTTTATCAAAAACTTTATCCTTTGTAATGAATAAAAGTTCTGGAATTTTAAAGAATAAAAACTTTCAAATTTTGAATTCTTTTATTTATTATTTAAATTTTAATAATCCTTTTTATATGTATGTATTAGTTTCTCTTTTAAGTTTACTTTTTTCTTCTTTCAGATCATATATATTTAATGTATGTGCATATGTAAGTACATGCAAGTTACAAAATTATTTATTTAATGTTTTAATATACAAAAATATAAGTTTCTATAAGAAAAAAGGGAAAGGAGAATTAATAAGTAGATTAAATATAGATTCATCCGAATTAATTGATATTTTCACCACTAACCTAATTGTATTATTAAGAAATATGATTAAAATTGCATTGTCTTTTTATTTTCTCTATAAAATAAATATAAGCTTATTTATAGTATCCTTATTTATTGTTATAATTATTTCAAACGTTTCTATATTTTTTTCAAGTATTTTTCGTAAATTTGCAAAGGATGAAAGTTATATCATTGCACAATCTAACAACATTATAGAAGAATCTATCTATAATTTTTCTCTTATACATGCATTTAATACACATAATAAAGAAATAGAAAAATTTAATAAATCGTTAGATAATATTTATTTATGTAGGATAAAATTAGGTTTATTATATATGTTGGAAAAATTTTTCATTCGTTTAATTGATATGATAACTTTTGTTGTAACCCTAATTCTAAGTAAAAAAACATTAGAAAATAATAATTATGTTGAATCTAGAACTATAATTTCATCGGTTATATATATGCAGAATATTATATCTCAATCTTGCACAATTGAACAGCAATATTCACGAGTTCAAGAGCTAATTGGTAATGCAGAAGATGTTATAAAATTAATTGAAAGGGAAACTTTTCGTAATAATCAAAATAAAATTAGTACAAATAAATATAATATATCAAGTTTCTTTAACTTAATTGATTTAAAAAATATAATTTTAAAATATTCCCTCATAAAAAAATTTCAAACTATTCAAAAAAATGCAGATTATGTTGCTAATATTATTAAACCTAATTATCTTAAACTCTTTGAAAGAAATTATAATAATTTAATGAAGTTATTGTTGGATAATAAATCTTGTTTAAATGATGATGAATTCTATTTATGCAAAGAAGTGAAAAAGGTGAAAAATGAGAAAAATGAAAAAAATGAGAAAAATGAAAAAAATGAAAAAAATGAAAATAGTTTTAAAGAAAAACATATAAATATTCAGGATAAAGAAACCTCGATGCCAATAAAAAATAATATACATGATACAAAAACAGATAAATTAAGCATTCTTTCAGTTAATGAAAAAAATATAAAATTTGAAAAAAAAAAAGAAAATAATTCTATAAAATTAAATAAAGAAAATGAAATTAGTAATGTTATGAAAAGTCCTAGTTCTAAAAATAACAATGGAGATAATTTCAATAAATATGATCTTTCAAATAAATTAAAAATAAACAAGTATGATATAAATATTGAAGAAATTTACAATTTTATTAAAAATGATGATGAACTTATTATAAAATACAACTTGGATAGAAAATTTATAAATTTTTTATTGTCAAAGTATAAAAAAAATATTTTATCATTAATCTTAAAGTTGTATGAAGAAAAAAATAATTTTATAAGCGAAAATTTTTTATTTATGTTTGATAATATTTGTTCATTTAAAAAATTGTCCATTAAAGACAAAAAGAGTATTCTAAAAATGAGTAACGTAACAAATAAGACATTATATATAATATTGCTAACTTTTTTGTTTTACAATTATTCAAAGTTTTATTATAAAAAAAAAAGAAAAAACATAATCAATTTTTTAGAAAAAAAACATAAATTGTCATGTAATAATCAAAATGAAAATTTAAATAATAATAATAATAATAATAATAATAATAATAATAATAATAATAATAATAATAATAATAATGAAATAAATGATGCAAATATAAACAATACAAATATGAGTGATGTTTTAAATGATGCAACTATAAATGATTGTAATGTGAATGATATTCAAGGAAAAAACAACATTGAAAATAGCAACATGTACTTATTAAAAACTGAATTAATAAATTACGAAGAAATTTTAAAAAAAAAAAAAAAAAAAAAGAGCCTTATTAATATATTTCCATACATAATACAGAACGCCATAAAAGAATTGGAAATTTTAAAATTTATTGATGAAAATTACAAATATATAAATGAAAATTTAATGATGGATAATGTAAAAGATGAAAAAAAAGGAAGCACTTTAATTTTTGAAAATGTTGACTTTTATTTTGCAAAATACCCGAAGAATAAAATTTTATCAAATATTAATTTAAAATTTTCACCAGAATATACATATGGGATATTATGTTATAACGATTCAGGAAAAGAATATTTGTCAAAATTATGCTCACGATTATATAATAAAAAATATGGGAATATTCTATTAGATAATGAAAATATAGAAGATATATCTAAATATATTTTGACAAAAAAAATTTCTTTAATAGAAGAAGAAAGTTATTTGTTTAGTGATACTATAATATACAATATACTTTATTCTTACAACTGTGTAACAAAAGAAAATAAAATTTTATCACATTTAAATTATGATTTTAAATTAAATCATAATAATATAAATAATTGTGTCCATTTATTTTTAGATCACGACTTTTTAAGTGAAAATAATAAAAAAAAAAATATATCAAAATTAAATAAAAAAATTTTAAATGATAATGAGATAATTCAAGAAAATAGTGATATAAATTTTAAAAGGTGCCTGATGTGTGGAAAGAATATAAACACACGGTTAATTGAAGAGCAAAAAAAAAAAAAAGGTTATAACAAATATAAAGTACATTTCATAAAAAAGCTATATAAAGAAATCATGAAAGTATGTAAAATTGTTCGTCTAAAAGATGTAATCAATTGTTATAACGATAAATTCTTTCACAAAATTAATGATAAAATATTATCTGGAGGACAGAAACAAAAAATATCATTAGCAAGAGCAATCATAAAAAAACCCCAAATTTTAATTTTAGATGAAGCCTTCAGTGCATTAGATTCAGATAATGAATTAAAAATATTTTCAAACATAAAAAAATACTTACCAAATTGTACCATTATAAATATTTCTCACAAAACAACGACAATTAATCATTGTGATTATATTTATATATTAAAAGATGGAAAAATTATAGAAGAGGGTTTGAGATTAAAATTGATGAAAAATAAAAATAGTGAATATGTAAAAAAAATCAATGAATTATGAAAAATTAAAAAATATATATATATATACATGTAAAGGATTAATATAAAATTTATCATTTATTAAATTAAAATTAAAACAATGGTTTGATTACAAATGTATGTTGTCTTAATTTGCATTTATTATTTTTTTTAATGTGTAATATTAAGAAATAAGTTGAATAATAAGAGAATTTTTGTTTAAATTTTTCTGTAAGAAAAAAAAAAAAAAATAAAATAAAAATAAATAATAATAATTTATTTTTTTAATAAAATTATTAAATATTTTTATTGTATTGATTATTTTTTTTTTTTTTTTTTTTTTTTTTTTTTTGCTTCAAATAAAAATATTTTCTATTTTTTAGAAGTTATTTGTCTTTTTTAGTTTTTTCATATTATTGTAAAGTTTATTATTTTTTTTTTTTTTTTTTTTTTTTTTTTTTCTTCTAAATTTTTAATAAATATTTATATTTTTTATTTTTATTTGTTCATATTAATTATTATAATCTTTCCTATTATGAAATTATTTTTATTTTTTATATTTGATATTTTATTTTATTTCTTTCTTTATATTTATATACATTTAATTTGTATTATCAATTTGTTTTCCCCAATGTTTTATAATATGTATTTATGTAAATAATTTTATTAAATCATTTTAAACACTTAAACATTTTCTTATAGTAATTTACCTTTTATGTTATTAATAAAAAAGATATCTTTATATACTTGGTTAATGTAATATTATTATTTTATTTTTCTATTATTTTAAAAGTTTCATATATAATGAGAAATTCTTCAAATTATTATATATATACAACTTTATTATAAAGCTTAAAAAAAAAAAAAAATTTGCAATAATAGTATAATTGATAAATTTAAACAACATAAAAAATAAAATTAATAATTATATTAATGCTTACATTCACGAAAATACTAAATATTTATAATAATTCTTAAATTATTTATGATATTTATGAAAATTGTCATTAGGAGAAACAAATTTAAAAGTTATATAAATACTTAATTACATGATTGTAAAAATTATTAAAAGACAGTAATCAATATAAAAAATTATTTCTTTATTTAATGATATATTTTTTTTTTTTTTTAATGTGCAGAATAAATATTAGTAACTTGATCTTTTTTTGTATAAAGCAATGCAGATGTTAAAACAAAAAAAGATAGAAAAATAGATTTCCTTAATTTATGATTCATAAATGAATATTTTAATTTAAAATTTAGTTTTGTAGATTTTTCAGAGAGAAATTTATTATCCATTTTTATATATTTTTCATTGTATTTTTGCTTTTTTAATTTTTCTTCATCAGATAATTTATAGCTAACTAATTTTGCTACATATGGACCAACATTGTCACCATTTTCAATGAAAATCTAAAGAAAATATATATATATTTATTTAATTATTTATTTATTTATTTATTTATTTGTTTATTTATATGTATATATTTAACCTTATGTGTATCATCACAATATGGGAATTTTCCTGATTGCCAACATCGGCATATTCTTATAACTTTTTCTTTTTCATGTTCAGATGGACAAGTTTCTATTAACTGAATTTATAGAAATATATAAATTGAAGAAATGTAAATTTTTTTTTTGTTTAAATTATTATTTATATAATTATATAATATATATTACAAATACATACATGTGTATATTGAGGAAACTTATTTGTATTGAAGTTTATTTTGTTAAGATATTCTAAAGGATCACTCATTTCCTTTTTTATATATATATTCATACAAAAAAAATTTCCCTTTTTAATTGTATTTTCAAATATATGCTTAAAAAATCAACATTCGTGTAAAAATGCATAAAAAATATTCATTGAAAAATACATATAACTTTATAATTACAAAAAAAAAATTATATAAAAATGTCGAAAATATATTAACCTTTCTTTTTCTTAAAAAATATATACATAATATTTCTTATTGCAAAATATATATATAAATATTTAATAATTTAATATAAAAATTTTTAAGTTTCCTTTTAATATTTCATATAATTTAAAAACGTGCTTTTATTTTAAATAAACTTAAAAATTTTTACATTTTTTTTTTTTTTAAATAAATTCTTTCAAAAAAATTTTTATATGTATTTTTATATAGTCATTTTTATTTTAAAGTTCCGTTTAATTAAAATTATCATACATAAATTATAAAATAATAGATTCACTTTATTAAAATTGTAAAACCATAAACTTAAAATTTCATTTCATTTTATTATAAATAATTAAATATGTTAGGAATAGTCTTAAAAAATAATTAAAAATAAATATATATTAAAAGTTAATAATTGTATAAAAATACTTTTTCTTTTAAAATATTTACAAAAAGTTACATATTTATTTAAAAAAAAGAGAACTTATAAGAATTTTAAAAAGTGTAATCTATAATGTTTTAAAAAATGAAAATATAAAAAAAATTTTAACTTTATAAATAAAAAATTTAATCAATAAAAAATATATATATATATATATATATATATATATATATATATATATATATATATATATATATATATATATATATATTTTTAGAACAATAATGTTATTATTTAAATATTAATAATCTATATTATCCTAACAAAAATTTATATAGAAATATTGTAATAAATTAATTAAAAAATAAAACTAAATATATGTAGAAAAGTTTAATTTATTTTACTAATTGAAAATATTATAGAACATATTAATATATAATTAAAAAAAAGTTAAATTTATTAAAACTATTCCTGTTTATAAATAAATGAGAGATTTGTAATTCAAATAAAAATTAACAAATAAAAAGACAAATAGATAAATATAAATATAATAACAAAATAAAAAAAAAAAATAACCAAAATAATAAACTAAATAATTTAATGAAGAAATACTTTATATATGATAAGAGTAATAAAAAAAAAAAATATATAAAAATAAAAGAAGCAAGTATGAAATACAAAATATATATATATATTTGTCAAACTTCAATATATTATTCTTGAAAAAAAAAATAAATAATAATGAGAATTGTATATTTAATCTTTTAATATATATATATTTAATTCAAAAAATAAATATTAATAAATTTAATGAAATAAAATCTAAAAAACAATCTGTAGTATATATATTATATGTTATTATTTACAAAAATAATGATTGTAAGATAATTTTATTTTTATTTTTTTGTAATTTAATGGTAATCATTATTATACTACTTTATTATATTTGAAAAACTTTAGTTTTTATTTTTATAAAAGAAGTATAAATAAAAAACCATTTTAGTCAATTAATAGTTTATTAAATTTATAGGTAGACCTTTTTAAACTTTTAACGTACATTTGAAAAAAAAAAAAAAAAAAAAAAATAAAAACGAGTAAGTATAATATATTTTGAAAAGTTTCTACGTTTTTATAACCATTATTATTATGCTATTTATCTTTAATTTTAAATCCAAAAAGACATAAAAATATTAACAATATTGCTTCTTATTAATGATAAAAATAAAGCTTTTTAAATTTTATATTAAAATTAAAAGAATAAATTAATGTTCAAATATGTGTTAACTTCCTCAAAAAATACATAAATAAATTTTTTTACGCAAAAAAAATTATTCAAATATATATATATATATTTAAAAATGTAAAAAAAATTTGAAGAATTAATTACATATAAATAAATTAAAAAAAAAAAAAAAAAAAAAATTCATATATATATATTTTTTTTAAAGGAAAAGATAATAATAATGTTAAAATATTTCGGTTAGTAAAATAAATTATTTTAAAATAATATAGTTTTTCTATCGGAATAGGAAGAAATAGTTTATAAAATTGGAATATTATTTTTTTTTTTTATATAGAAAAAGATATTTTTATAATTTTATAACAATTATTAATCCCTCGTCCTATTTAATTTAATATTACGAAAATTTCCTTGATTAGATTCTTTATAGTTTCTAAAAAAAAATTAATTTATAGATATATAAAAATTAAATAAATTTTTATATAACTACGTATATATATATATATATATATTTTTTAAACTATATTAATTTTTTCTCTTTTTTTACATTTCCTTAAAGTCCCCTGAAAGCATATTTTGGTTATTATATTGAGGATTGGAATTAGAATACATATTATAAGAAATGTTAGGAACTCTTTTATCTTTTTCACCCTTTTGTATATTTTTATTTTTTTTATGCATATAATCATTTTTCATATTTTCTTTTAATACATGCGATTTTTCTTTATAACCTAAATATTTCGTAGTTCCATCAGGGTTATAAGTATATTCATGCTTCTTAAATGCTAAGTTATCTGGTATTGGGTATTTTTTTTCATAACAGAAATCGCAAAATTCTTTAAAAATAGAATTTAACAATTTTATAACTAATTCAATTCCTTTTTTATAAGAAGGTATATCATCTGATGATACAGATATATGCATTCGTTCAACAACTGGTGCTTCATTAATTGGTTTCCCTTTTATTTCTATTTTTACATTATTGTTAGTTTGTTCATTTATATAAGTTATATTTGAATTGTTTTTACCTAAAATTTTTTTCATTACATCAAATTCAGAAGGAAAACCAAAAATATCAATTAGTTCTATTCTACTTAATCTTTTATTAGCATATGGATTTTCATTTTGATCATTTTTATTATGTACAGGATTGAAATTATTGTTTGAATTGATGTAATTTGTATAGTTCGTTTTATTACTCAACTGATTTTTTGTCATCTGGTTCATATCATTTTTCTTTTTTATATTAGTATTATTTTGTGGTTGTAATAAAGTAGCTAACTTTTTTAGCATATTAACTGTATTTTCATTATTAGAAGATAAATTAGAGTTCTGCAAATGTGCAGGGTCATTTGCTGAAAATGGAAGAAATTGTTCTATCACCTTTCCCTCATTTAATATAATGCATCTAATAGTACCAATATCATTTATAGTTAACCCATTAATATCTTTCTTTACTTGTTGTATCATATTTTGATCATAAAAAGTGATTTGAGCTGCTGCTTTATCGTTTAATATTCTTATACTTTTTGCTCCTTTATAATGAGAAAATAGAGTTTTTAAATCTTTTTCATCAAATATAAATGCATTTTGAGGATTATCAATAAATAAACCTAATGAATAATTATTACTATTTAAATTATTGGAATTATTATAAATATTATTACTTGTTATATTATTCATACTCATCTTTCCTATATTGTTGTTTCTTTGATAGCTTGTATCTCTATTTGAGATATTGTTATTTAATTTTAAGTTGTTTTGATCTTTTGAATTTATTGGATACATTTGTTGATTTAATAAAATATTGTTCATATTTTTACATAAAATATTTCTTTAATTGTTTAATTTATAAGATTTAGAAGAGTTTATTTCGTTAATAAACTTATTTAATTTTTCATCAATACTTAAGAAGAGTTATTACTATTCATTTACATATATACACTTACTCTATTCGATGTTTTTTTTTTTTTTTTAAGAATCTAATTTTTAATACTTATTTCTAAATTTAGGAATTTTTTTTAAACTGTTATACTATATATTCTCTATTCTTCTTTTATAATATCACATATATCCTTTTAAACACCTTTGTGCTTTTAATTTTTATCTTTTATACATTAATATATATATATAAATATATATTTTTTTATTTTATTAATTTTTATGTGAACACATAAATCTATAAGTATTTGTAATATCTAATGCTTTCGAATATATATATATATATATTCTTAAGGGTTGTGTCAAGTAATGATTCCAAATTTTTTTTTTTTTTTTTACTTTTAACAGAAAATTATAAAAAAGGAGTTCACAATTTTTTTTTTTTTTTTTTTTTTTTTTTTGTTTAAAAATTTTAAATTATAAAAATATGACTGCTATTTTAAAAATGTGAAATACATAAATTTTTTCAAATGTATCTGATATAAGTTTATGGTTTTTAAATGCAATACATTATTATTTACATATTCTTTTTTCTTTTTTTTTTTTTTTTTTTTTTATTAAAAAAACATCATATTTCTGATTAATTTGAAAAATTAATTATAAAACTACTTTTTCAAAAAAATTCTTTAAATAAATATATACACTTTTAACAGAGTATTACAACTTTATAATTATTAGGAAGATTGATTTTTAGACTTTGTAAAATAAATTTATATGAATCACCTAAATGTTATGAAAGAAGATATTTTAAATATAAGAAAAAAAAAAAAAAGAAAAACAAAGGAAAAATAGATGATGTTAATACAAAAATATTTTATACATATATATATTTTTTTTTTTCTTCATTTTTTAACATATTAAATATAATTACCAACAAAAAGAAAATGCTTTAACATAATAAAATTGAAGAAATTATAAAATTGTAGTATTAAGGAAAAAGATAAAAAAAAAAAATAAAATAAATAACGAAAAAAAAAGAAAAATATTAAAAAAAAAAAAAAAAAAAAAAAAAAAAAAAAAAAAAAAAAAAAAAAAAAAAAAGTTAAAAGAGAAAAATGAAAAACGGTATATAAATATTATGAAGATTTATTAAAGAATTACGAAAATAAAAGTATAAAAAAAAAAAAATTAAAATCACATACAAAAAAGTAAAACTATAACATTATTTATTACAATATTAATGAATATACATGCATAGAAATGCATAAATTATTTATAAAGAATTTTTTTTTTTTTTTTTTTTGATAAAAGAAAATTAGCTAAAAAAGTATTTAACTATAACATTTTCAACCATTAATTTTTTAATATTTATTATTTTTTAAAAATTTTCATAAAAACAATACGCTTGATTTTTATAAGAATTATATTTTATATGGAAAATTTCAGTGGTTAACAATGGCATTTAAAAAAATGTAAAATCAAAAAATTTTTTTTAAATTAGTATATTAAAGTTGCATATCTTTTTTTTTTTTTTTTTTTTGTAATAAAATTAAATCTTCTTTGAAGAAAAATTTATTTAAAATACTTTTTGGAAAATTTAGAAAAATGTTTCCATTTTGTATTGTATTTCTTATAAGTCTTTTTGTTTTACACTTTTTATAGATAAAGGTAAAAATATTAGGAAAAAATAAAAATTCATTTAGAATGAATTTTAAAATAATAGGTCAAATGTTAATTATGTTTTCATATTTTATGAAAAATAAGCAAATATAAGAAAATATAATTGTTCATTTAGTAAATTGTATGTGTGTTTAAAGCAGATAATATGCATAAAAGTTTGAAGTTTCTCTAAAAAAAAAAAAAAACATTAAAATGGTTTTTAGAATTTTTTATAATTAATATAAATGTAAAATAATTTTTAGAATAATTAAAAATATACTGAAAATTTTATTCTTTTTATTTTCAAAAATTCATCAAATGTACCTATGTTATATTTGTGTTTTATTTGTTTATTTTTATTAAAATCTCAATTACATATTCTTAAAGAGCAAAAAAGGAGAAAAATCAATTGTTTAAAAGTCTTTGCTTTGTTATAAATATTAATATTAAAAAAGATATAAAATAAACAATTCAAATTAGAAGTATTTGTTTTTTCTTTTTTTTTTTACGAAATTTAAAAATGATACATTATGTATTGTAAGAAAGAAAATAATAAAAAAAATGAGGGAAATAAGAAAAAAAAATATAATAAACAATATATAAATAAATATATTAAAATATCCTCATATTATATAAGCTATAAATTAATAAAATTATCTATATTAATAAATGCTTATTTTATTTTATTATTTATTATATAAATACAACACAATTATATTTTTTTTTTTTTTTTTAATCACCTAAGAATGTATAATTATTTTTCATAAAAAAGAATTTTATTTAAAAAAAAAGTAATATAAAAATTTAAGTTTAACTAATATAATAATTAAAAAAATAATGCATTAAAAAAAAAAAAAAAAAAAAAAAAAAAAAAAAAAATATATATATATATATATATATATATATAAATATATATAAGATCTATTATTATTCTATATTTATGCATTCGTCATCAACATCAATAGCTGAAAAACTTGGAACATCTTCTTTCATTAACCCTCTTAACTATAATAAAAAAAAAATTTAAGTATTTTATATTTTAAATATATATATATGAGATATTATATATCCAATAAATATATAAATGTAATAATATATATATATTTCTTTTTACCTTAATAAGTTTATTATCTTCTGCTAACTTTGCTCTTTGCAATGCTTCTTGTCTATCAGCTTCATAAAGTTCATCTTGATTAGTAGCAAACTCCTAATAAGAAAAAAAAAAAAAAAAATATAACCATATAAATATTTTTAATAATTTTTTTTTTTTTTTCTTCATTTGGATAATAAATTTTTTAAATAAATAAATTAGTTCTACCTTAAGGGATATTAATAAGTCTCTAACAAATGATCTAAAAGCGGATGGTGACTCAACGCAAAAATTAAATAAGTCTACTGAAAATGTTTCAATTTGCTTTTGATTTAAATTTTCAAATGATTGTGATAAGAAGGTTTGCACATGTTTTATTATATGAGGTTTTGTTATTTCTGCATCAGGGATATTTACTACTTCAAATTCAAGCAATCTCAGTAAATTCATGAGAATTATGGTTTGATAATGAAAACCTGATTTATGAAAAGAGTCTGTTAATGTTTTAAAAATTTCATTTAATATAATATAGTAAAATGCTTTACAAAATTCTTCTAAGTATTCTTTTTTCTTTATAATAATATTATGAAGAAATTGGTGAGTTATTCTTAAACCATGATCAGCAACGGATGGATGTTCATGCTTGATTGCCCATAATAATGATTGAATAAAAGTATTAAATATTTCTGAATCTAAAGTAAATAAATAATCAAAACAGTGCTTAACACATGCATCTAGAAAATTGTAAAATTTTTCTCTATGTTCAGGATAAGAAGAGAAATCATTTTTTATCATATCAATAGTTGGTAATAAAACATAATTTAATACTGTTGGCAAAATAGGACAAGTAACATTTTCAATTTTTTTAAATACAGTTGATAATAAAGAAAATACTTCTGCATCTTTTATATGTGGATTACTATCCCTATAATCAACTAATATTGTTTCTAATAAAACATTTAATATATTACTAGTCATTTGAAAATTAATTTGTTTTGCTTCTTCAATAGTTGGTAGGGGAATATCCATAGATTCATCTATTTCATTTTTCAATTTTTTTTGTTCCCTTTTTAATAATTCTTCTTCTAATTCTTGTATATTATAACAACTTCTTTCTATAGTAGTTTCAATTAAATGTAAAAATTCTCTTTTCATTAAAAATAAATTTCTAAATTGAGCATGTTTAATTCTTTTCGTCCCATTCGTTTCTACTTCTAAATTAATGAACTTGCTATATAGTTGATAAATTCTTAAGAAATCTAAAAATACTAAAGATAATTGTTCATAATAAAAATATGATAACGCATAAGCTAATCTACAATTTACTCTTACAAAAGTAATAATTAATTTTGAATTTTCATAAGTACATAAATGTTCTAAATTTTTCATATCATCAGGGTTATTACTTAAATTATTATTTAGAGAATTTTGGTTATTTATATCTTTAACTCCATTATTAGAATATATTAAAGAATTCCATAAATTCATTAATTTACTCATCAAAATTTTTATGCTTTCTTGTTTTTCTTCATAAGGAAAACAAGAAATCACATGTGCAATAGCTTCATATAGAAGAAGATTTAATTTTTCTGGTAATTTATGCATGATATTATTATGAAATTTAATAAAAGTACTAAAAAATGATTCATTGTTATCATTAGAATGATTATTCTTAGCAATCACATTTTTACATTGTTTACAAATTTTTAAAATAGTTTCTGCTGCCATATCTTGTACTTTCTCATTTTCAGCAAATTCAAATAATTTTTTCATAACTGTCTTTAAGAATCTCCAATGAAGTTTCAAAAATCTATGATATTGACTAACTATATACATAACACATGAAGCTAATATGGCTCTATTTTCTTCTCCATTTTTTACTTCTATCATATGTAAATATATTCTTAATATATACATTAAAAAATCTTGTTCCTTTTTAAGTGTCATACACATAGATATAGAACCAACAGCATAACTTATTCTATTTGTTTTAGTACTATTCCATACTTCATTTTTGTTAGTATTCTTTAAAGACTTTTCAGATTCCTTGTTTAATAACTCTACTATTAGTTCCATTGTTTTTTCTGAGCCTAAATATGTTAAGTATACTAAAGTTGTTTTCATAGTATTATATAAAGCTATTTCTGTTGTATCTGGTTCAAAATCCCTCACTACTTCTCCTGTCTCATTATCATAAGAAATATAAATTTCTTGAGGTTTTGCCATCTTTTCAATAACAGTTTTTCTAATATCATTTAAAATAAATTCATATAATTTTATTCTTGGACACATTTTTCTAATTTCAGTAGGTGTTAAATCTATCTTATCTAAAATAGATGAATATTCATTAATATTAATTGCTTTATTATTAGTTGCATTTATATCATTATTCATGGTTGCAAAACTATAGGATTTTCTATTACTTAATGATGATGATTCCAAATTTAAGGATGCGATTGATGTTAAAGAGTTTTTTAACTCTGTTGATGAATTAGAACAATTTTTATTTTTTAAATTATGTTCTTGCTCTAATCGTGTTATTAATTCTCTTATTAATTGTTCTGTAAATATATTATAATAATCTATAATAATTAAAAATACTTCTTCCATATTACTATTAGCAAGCATATTTAAAAATTTAAATACAGTATTTACATCATTTGTATTGTTATTTTTTTCTACAATTTTCTCTCTATAATTTTTTAAAAAACTTGTAATACAAATGCTTAATTGTAAAAAATATTGTTCCCAAAAAATTTTTAATTCAGGAGGAATATTTTTCATTTCATTGGCATTTGGTAATAATTTAATTTTGCTTACTAATTTTGACCATAAATTTATAAATACATTATCAAAATATATGATATTTTTTTCATCAATTTTTAGCATAACAATTTCTTGTATACATTTTACACATTCTATCTTATAAGAAATATCATCCCAAAAATGATCAAATAGTAAATCAATTATTTGAATATTATTATCATTAAATTTATATTTATCAAAGATGTAAGTTAATGGTATCCATTTAAAAAAATTTGATAAACAATTTAATGTTTGTTTAATTAAAGAAGTATTAGTACTCCTTTTATTATAAACATTTGCCTCTAATATATACAAACATAAATTATATACTTCTTGAAATTGACTAGCATATTCATTTCTTAATTTTTCTTTTTTTTTTTTAATTAATGTTTCATTTCCAAATTCAAATACTTCTTCACTTAACATATTTAATAATTTCATATTATTCTCACAAACATTTTGGTTTAACTTAGCTGAATTTACTATATCTGGAATAAAACTAGACCAAGAATCTGGCCATTCTTTTTTTACTATTTGAATTAATGTTTCATCTAATTTGTTTAATAAATGTCTATCTATTCCTATCGTTGTTCCTTCTGTTGATAAAGTTATAGTATAACAAGCAATGAAATTTTTCATTCCTTCTTTTTCTTCTGGAGGGAGAATATTCCATTTATTATTAATACATTCTTCTAATATTTGTAAGCCATAAAATTTTGTATTTACATTTTCACTATGTTCTAATATAATTGATACAGATCTCCAAGCATTATCTAACATTTTAAATTGATTTAATAAATTTTGTGCAAAATCTCTTCTATTTTTATCTTTTGTATCTAATAATGCTTCAACCACATTATCTAATAATTTTAACTTTTCAGAATCAAAAGGTTGATTTTTATCTAATAGATATAAAGGATTGAATGATTCATTTTCCATTTTTATTATTTCAACTTTTTTAAAAATTTTAATTATTTGAACCAATATCTTAAATATTTCTCTTTTTTTTTTTTTTTTTTTTTAGAATATTTATAAAATTTACTTATTTGCCCTTATGACAATTTGTAATTCCACTTATGATCCCTTTCACTTTCTCTCTTTTTTTTTTTTTTTTTTTTTTTTTTTTTTCTAGATTATTTATTTTCTATTTTATTTAAACTCTACCAATGTTTTATTTATTTAAAAATTATTTAAAAATATATATATACTTTCTTTTTTGTCTATTACACTTTTCTATTATTTAATTTTATTATGAATATAAAATTATTACACAATTTATTTTATTTTTTAGATTTTAATATCTCAATTCAAACAACGATGTGAGATTTATTTTATTTTATTTTTTTTTTTTTTTTTTTTTTTTTTNATTTTTTTTTTTTTTTTTTTTTTTTTTTTTACAATTAGTTTTTGTCTGCTATGATTTTCTTTTCAAGGCTTTTCTTATATCCATTTAAATGTTTTTTCTGTATTTTTACAGTTTTTCTAGTTCTTTTTAAAAATTTTATTTTATTTTTTTTTTTATATATTTTAAAATTTTATATTTTTTCAAAATTTTTCTTTAAAATAAAAAAAAAAAATTAAATATAGCAATGAAGATACAAATGCATAATTTTTTTTATAATTTATACAAAAATAAAAAAAAACAAAACTTTTAGTTTAGCATTATACAATTTTAGAATTTTTCCTTAATTTCTTTATAAAATACATAATTTTCTCTTTTTTTTTGTTTATTTTTATTCAAATCATATATTTATATATATTAATTTTTTTTGTAGTCTCTATACAAATGAGAAAAGCATTTTTTATTCCTTATATAATTAAATCATATAAAAAAAAGAATATTAAGGTGTATTTTTATTTTATTTTTTTTTTTTTTTTTTTTTTTTTTTATGTTTAATTTTTTTTATTAAAAATCATACCCATATTATAAATATTAAAAATAAACATTTTTAAATTTAGTACTATGTCACAATATACATATATATATATATATGAAGTATGCTAAATCAATTAATAGATATATTTAGTTTATCAGTATTATTTAAACAATATAAAGAAAAAAATATATATATATATATATATATATATATATATATATATATATATATATATATATATATATACTTCTTATATATATTTATAAATATGTAATATAATATATATTATTCTTATTTTATCAAGATATGTTTTTTAATATAAACATAAACTCACAAAAATAAATCATTATTTAAATTTATTTTTTCCATTTAAACAAGAACATATATATATATCTATTACATCGATTATATGCATACAAAAAGAAAAATTATAGATAAAAAATAAATTTGTATGAATAAATTCAATAAAAATAAATGTATATATAATTAAATACTTATAAATAAATATATATATATGTATTTTATGTTGGGTCAAGAATTATAATTAATAACTGAAAAAATGTATAATAAAAATTGCTTTATATATAAAATAAAATTGAATTAAACATTATAAAAATAAATAATAAATATGTGTATTTAAGTGTATCAATATATGAAAATATAAATTAACATTCCTTTTTAATAAAAAAATTTACAGGAATCATTAATATTTTCGTTTTTTTTTTTTTTTTTTTTTTTTTTTTTTTTTTTTAAATGCAATAAATTTGTCATATTATACATTATTCATGTTATGGTTATTATGTTTTATACATATTTAGAATATTAATTAAAACTTTAAATATATATGTATAAATCGAAATAAAAATTAAAATTTTACAAAATAAAAAATTAATAATTTACAAAAATGAAATACATACTCTTAAAATAATTTTTTAAAATTTTTACAAAAAAAAAAAAAAAAAAATAAAATAAAATAAAATAAAATTGTCCAAATAATATTTTTTTTTAAATATTCAATTTCTTCAAATTTCACAAATATTATATTTAAGAAACTTAATTTTTATGTATTTTTTGTATTATATAGAAAATACATAAGGAAATGTATAATATTCTTTAAAAGAAATTTATTAACTTTTAAAATTATAGGAATTGTTGTATTAATTTATATATATTTCTATAAATGAAAATTTATAAAAATATAATTATTAAATATAATTTTATTAGTAAGTATTCTTTTATTTTAAATATCTTTATTTATTTTATAATACTCCATTAATCTCTCTTTACTAGAGTAATTTACTATTTTTAAAACTTTTTTTCTAAGTAGAATTCTTATTTATTTATTTTTTTTTTTTTAAAATAAAAATATTTGAATTTAATAGTAATTGTTTTTTTTTTTTTTTTTTTATTCTCTTCTAAGTTTTAAACTATAAAATATAAGGCATGTAACCATTTGCTACTAATAATTTTTTTTTTTTTTTTTTTTTTTTGCACTTGATAGATTTTTTTTCTTTTTAATATATATAATAATTTTTAAAAAGAGATATATAAAATAAAAAAAAATATTAACAAAAAGAAAAACAAAACATAATATTTTGCGTTTCAATAGGTATTTATGAAATTAATATAAATAAGAGTTTATCCTTAAAAATAGGAATGTGTGTGTATAAGAATGATAAAAAAATATAAATATGTTTACTAAGTGAATTAACGAAAAAATAAAAAAAAAAAAAAAAAAAAAAACAAATAAATATATATATATATATATATATATATATATATATATATATATATATATATATATATTTTTTTTTTTTTTTTTTTTTTTTTTTTTTCATCGTTTCATAATTATTATATTTTTATTTATTTAAAAAAATATAACTATATGTAATCTATTATATAAAAAAAATAAAATAAAATTATATATATTGATAATATTTGAATTTTATTATGGATTTATTTTTATTCTTAGTCTTGGTTAAATATTTTTTCAATAATATGATTCTTCATCAAAACAAATACCACAATCCTTATAACTTTTTAAAAAAATGTCACAAGTAATATTTTTACCATTAGATGCTTCAGATGCCATATCAATAATCATGAGAAGATTTTTTATTGCTATATTTTTAATTACATTAGATGTAAGAACTTTTTCTATTTCTTCTAATGGAAAATCATGATAATTTACATTTCTATTTTGTAGAACATGTTTAATTGAGCTTTTAGAATTTAACAAAGGAACTTCTATGTTTACAAAAAAGTTTTTAGTTAAACCAACATCCTTCATAAATTGATATTCCGATGTAGTACAAATAATTAAAATTTTCTGATTTTTTTTTTTAGGTTTTTTTTTTATTAAAATCATAATAGCTTGTAAAATAGTATTACTAAATCGTGGACCAATTCTAGTATAATCCATTAATCTTTCAATGTTATCTAGGATAACTAAAGAAAGTGGAGTCTTATAAGCATCTTCAAAAATTTTATTTATATAATTTATTTTACCAATTTCAGAATACCCAATTAAATTTTCGGGAGTTATAAATTTAGTGAAATGAAAATGAGCACACTTGGCTAAATGAGCAGCAATAGTTGTTTTCCCTGTTCCGTTCTCTCCATATAATAAAATACTCATTAAATTTGTATTCATATTTTCTACTATCTGCTTAATTAATAATTTACAAGTGTTTTCAATATTTTCATATTCTTTTCCGTAGCTGATTATACCGTTTGATAATAAACTTTCAATTATATCTTCCTGTGCGCCAAATGCTGGTTTTGTTTCTTTTAATGCTTTTAAAAAATCATTTTTTGTTATCATTATATCATCAGCATTTATAGGTTTTGTTAAATCATTAAAATTAATATGTCTTTCAAAAGCATACGAAACGGTATTTCTTACTAATCCTTCAATTTCCGCTCCTGAAAAATTAGGGGTTTTTTCAGCTAATTCTATTATATTTACATCTGGACTTAATTTATTACTTTTCCTCATACTTTTTGTATGTATATTTAATATTTGAATTCTTCCTTCCTTATCAGGTAATGATATTTCTATATGTAATTCAAATCTGCCTGGCCTTAATAAAGCTTCATCGATTAAATCAATTCTGTTTGTCATTCCAATTAGCAATATGTTATTTAAGCTATTAACTCCATCAATCTTAGATAACAATTGATTAACTACACTATCATTTACACCTGTACTACTAGAACTTACATTTCCCCTTTGCCTGCATATTGCATCTATTTCATCTAATATGATTATATGTAATAAAGAATTTTCTCCACTTTGCTTATATTCTAATTCTGCATCTTTAAATAAATTTCGAATATTTTCTTCTGATTGACCTACATATTTATTTAATATTTCTGGACCGTTAATAATTTTTGGTTCTCGTGCATTTAATGTTTTACCTATTTGTCTAGCTATTAATGTTTTACCTGTACCAGGTGGTCCATATAATATTATTCCTTTAACGTGTTTTATACCAAGTTGTTTTATTATATAATTTGGGTAAATTCTACTGGCAAATGTTCTTCTAAAAATGATTTTAAATTCTTCATCTAATGCTCCTATTCCTAATTCTTCAAAATTAAAATTATTTTTTATAATATTTTTTTTTAACACTTTTTTTGATTCTATAAAGAGTTTTCCATCATTCATACTTGTAAATATACATTCTGTGTTTTCAAACAAAATTCCTTTTTGTAAATTTCTATTTTTTACATTATATTCATTATTCATTTTAGAATACGAATTAATTGTAGGAATATTTCCTTTTAATTTTTTGACTTCATCAAACTCAGCTATTTTTAAATCTTTTACAACACATTTTAATAATATGTCATTATACTTTAATGCTAATATTTGTCCTTTTGTTAATATATGATTCAAAAAATACTTTTTAAAAACTTCTTCTAATTTTTCATCTTGCATTTCAATCAATCTATCAGGTTTAATAAATAAACTCACTTCTAAATCAACACTATCTAATGGAATAAAATAAATAATATCTCTTTTATTTTCCTTATCAAGTATATTTATTTGTACTTCTTCTTTTAATTGAATTCTTGAAAATTCCCTTTGACAAGTATTTAAAGCTATTTCATCTTTACTTATGTTTGGATCTCCTTTTAATATTAAAACTAAATTTGAAAATTCTCCATATACTTCACTACTTTTTATATTTTTTTTTAAATTATTATATAAAACGTTATTTATAAAACCATAATTCGTTAATGCCAATTCTTGAGATTGTAATTTACAACAGTGTAAATTTGTTGTTATCATCCTTTTATTTTATACTTACATTAATATCTTATATATACTTTAGTTATTTTTTTTTTTTTTATAATTTATTACAATATATATATTCTTTTAATTTATATATGTTTCTTTCTATATATACACCCTTTTTCTCAATATGTTTTATATGTTATCTTATATTTACATTAAAGTATAAAGAAAAGTAAGTTTTTCATAATTATTTTATTTTATATTAATTTTTTTTTTTTTCTTTTTTTGTCACATATATATGTATATATAAATATAAATATATATATATATATATATATATATATATATATATATATATATATATATTTAACTGAATTATAATTTTACAATTTTTCAAATGTTCTGCATGTCAAATAAGTGTAATTTGTGTTAACAATTATTTTTTTGTAACAATATAAGAAAAAAAAAAAAATTAAAATAAAAAAATTTAATAGATTATCTGGATTTTCTAATTTATAGTTACCATTTAAAAATAATTAATAATCAAAAAATGATCTTAATAACTTTTTGTATAAACTTATATCTATAAAAAATTGATAAATTTATATAAATATGTTCTTATTTAAAATTATTTTAAAGTTTTCTTCTCTAAAATAAATAAATATTATTTTATAATATTTATATTTTTTTTTCTTAACTAATGTAAATCTATATATATATATAATTTTTTTTCTTATATAAGCGTTCTCTTATTTGTTAGTTATTTATTATTATATTTTTACTATTATATATTTTTCATTTAATTAAAAATTTTCTTTTTTTTTTTTACTATTTTATTATTATAACTTTTTTTTTTTTTTTTTTTTTTTTTTTTTTTTTTTTTTTTTTTTTTTTTTTTTTTAAATTCAATAATTTAAAATGAGTATCTAGTATTATTGTATTTTTATAGAATTGAAATTTATGTAATTATTTTTCTAATAAATATAGAATTTCCTTGTAATTCTTTTCCTTTATCTATATATATTTAAAAATATTTATGTACTTTTTTTTTTTTTTTTTTTTTTTTTTTTTTAAATTCAATAATTTAAAATGAGTATCTAGTATTATTGTATTNNNNTTTTTTTTTTTTTTTTTTTTTTTTTTTTTTTTTTTTATGTTCCTTTATATTAAAAAAAAAAAAAAATATTATATATAAAAAAAAAAAAGGTATAACTTTATAGAATTAAATATAGAAATATATAGATTAAACATTTAAACTAATTTCCTATTAATGTATTTTTTTTTCTTTATTAAATCAATATAAAAAAAAAAAAAGGAAAAATGGAAAATATATAAAAATAGATGTATTATAATAAAATTCTTTCATTATATTTAAATACTAACACATGTATTTTTTTATAAATAATCTATATAAAAACCATAATATTAGTTTTGTAAATTTTTTTATAAATATTATAATACAAATATTTTTTTAAATTTTTTTACATAACTTTAAAAATTATTATGCATATTTTTTAAGTGTGTAACAAATAATTTAACTTCTATAAATATTTTCTAATTACACTTCTTCCACAAATATTTAATCATACTATAATTCCAAAGAACTTTTAAGATACTATTAAAAATAATCTACATAAAAACAAATAAGACTTTAAAATATATTGTGGAAAACATATTATGTTTATTATAAATTTCTTTTCATTTTATCTATTAAAATTTTTTATTAAATTAAAATCTTTTTTTATATGGATAAATTTAAACACGAATTTTCTGAAGTTCTATTCTTTTTTAATGATTTAATTGATTCTGAGTTATTACAATTAACTATATCTAAATAAAAAGAATAATTTTCTATCATATCATTTATGTTATATGGGACTAGAGAATTTCCTGATACAAAAGTATTTACATTATTAAGTAAATGAAATTCATCAAACCAATATGGTAAATATATTATAAGTCTCATACTATCAATAACTTTTACATATGCTGTTAATATATGTGTAAATTTTTCACTTAAGGGAACTAATTGAACATTATTTTTTTTTAAATTTTTCATTTCAATATTATAATTTAAATTTTCAAATTCCTTACCAATTTCTAAATAATCAATATAATACGAAACTTTATTACTTTCACTAATCCCTGAAAAATCCACCATTTCTTCTGAGCTATCATTACATAAGCATATAATATTGTTAAAGAAATATTTATATGCAGAAAATACATCGTTATTAAAAATTTCCGAATTATCATCATTAAATAGTATATTACTTAATTTGATATTTCTTAAATAGTATATAGCGCATGTAAATAAAGGTATATTAGATGGGATTTTATAAATTTTATCTGTTCTCTTATTCATTACTTTTTTTTTTATTTCTTCATTGTTTTCATCTTTCTGCACGCTTTCTGTGAGTAAATTATAACTTGCATTTGAACTATCGTTGGCTTCATCTCTTCCATATAAATTGATATTACAAATATCTAATTCTTTATCTTTATGAATATTATTGTACTTAGTTACATCTTCCATGTTAACTGTCTCTTCTTTTTTATTTTCATTCAAATATATCTCTTTCATATTATTTATGATACTTTTTTCTTTTATCTCGCTATTATTAAAAACATTTTTTTTATTATTGTAATTGTTAATGTAACTCACAGAATTTTTATGTTTGACAAAAAAATCAATTAATCTATCATATAGTGAATAACTATGAATATAAAAAATTAATTTTTTAAATTTATAAAAAAAATAACATAAAAATCTATAAGATCTTAAATTTTTGGGTAGTACAGAAAAATTTTTGTTTCTATAATAATTTCCTTCCATATTTTTATAAGATAAAATTTTTTTGTAACTTATAAAATTTATTACTCTTATGTACTTCTTTTGAAAAAAATATTCCATTACTTCTTTAAAATGTTCATACTTTTCATAATCCTTTATTTCGTCTTCAATTTCTTGAATTAAATCATTTTTATTATTTTGTAAAGTACAATTATTTACATTTTCATAATTTTTTCTGTTTATTTCAAAATAGTTAGTTTTTTGAATTAGACATTTATTATTATGCTTGTCATTGCTATTAGAACTAGAATATAAAACATTTACATTATATTTTAATTGTTTCACCTTATGTATATAATTGTTTAAATGGTATGAATTGTCTATATTGATACAGCTATTATTATACCTTTTGTTATTATTACCTCCATGATAAATACTACTGCTGTTATAATTACTATTACAAATATTATAATTAGAATTGTTTAATGATGTTCTATGATTATCTGTGTTTTTGAATTCATCTAAACTTACTTTATCACCATATCTTAAAAGACTCCCCGAGTTATAATTCGAACAGTATTCATTTCTTATTTCTTTCTTTTCTTCATCATTTTGAAAACACATAGAAAAATTAAAAAAAAAAAAATTATTCTCATTTAAGCTATTGTATTTACGTATAATATTAAATATAGAATATCTTTTAGAAATAACAGATATATCTTTATTATTTAAATTTAAAATTATATGATTTTTTTCATTCTGATTAATCAACAAAAAATCATTAAACATATATGAATAATAATCTTCATTTTTTATTTTATTTTTTAAATTTTTATTTATTTTTAGAGAATCAATTTGAATAATAAAATCACATTTACTTAAATAAATATTCAAGTATAACAAAAATAATCCAATATTTTTTATCCATCCAAAGGTATTAATAATTAATGGATAATTACACACATTTTTTTTTTTTTTCTTTTTATTTAAATATTCAAAGAATAAATAATTATATATATATTCCAAACATTTAATATAAAAATTTATATTGTAATTAATTGAACAACAACCATAAAATATTTTTTTAATGCACTTATTTTTCTTTTCAAAAAAATTGTAGTTATTTAATGAATATTTAATTTTATATATAGATAAAAAACCAGATGTACCTATTATCGGTTGCCCTATATCAACATCTAATAATATAACACTTTTATAATAATTCAATAAATCATTTATAAAATTTATAACTAAAAAACTTTTTCCTTTATTTTTATCTCCCATTACAATAATACTAAATATATTAGGGGGAGAAGAACAATTTCTATCATGATCGTAATTATTTTCAGAAACATTTATTTTATTTATATTATTTATATTATTTATACTATTTATATTTTTTTTAAAATATTCCCAACATTTCACTTTATTTAAAATTGATTCTTCTTTTGTGAAGTTATCACTAAATTTCTTTTCTCCATATTTATTATTTTTTGAATCATCTTTCATTAAGTCATTTTCTGTATATTCATTATTATTATTATTATTATTATTATTATTATTATTATTATTATTATTATTATTATTATTATTATTATTATCATCATCATCATAACTGATATAATTATTATTTATATTTTCTACTTGTTTTATAACATTATTTAAATCATATCTCTTATTGTTGAACATATATAACAAAAATTCTTTTAATACATAAGAAAATTGATAAGTATTAATATAAAAACTATAATTTTCCTTATAATTTGATATATTTAATTTTTTATTAGTGTTATTATTATATAAATAATACAAAAAATCCTTTTTTCTTTGAAATGAAATAATTATAGGGTATTTTTCAAAACATACATTTGATTTTATACTCTCAATCATATCATAACTTGAAAATAAACTAATATCCTCTTTATTAGAGAACATTAAGTATTCATAAAAATTTTTTTTTTTCACATTTTCATCAGGTAGCAAGTTTAAACCAAACAAATAGTTTTTTATAATAGTATCAGCATACTCACAAACGAATTCATTTTCTTCATTGGAAATATTAAAATTGCTATTATCGACATTATCTTTATTTTTCTTTAATATATTTATATCATCATTCTTTTTTAAATATGCTAAATTATTTAATTTCAATTCCTCATTTTTTGTATTACATGGCGTATTTTCATTACAAGTGAAGCTTTTTTTGTCATTACAATTTTTTAAAAAGCTGTTATGAAATAAAAAATTTTTTTTTTCATATTTAATGTTATTTATATTTAAAGCTATTAATTTAAACAAAGGATAAAAGACTGGTATACGCACATTTACATACTCTTTTGAAGGTTTTAAAATTTCTCCATTAAATTTAATTAATCCTTTTATTAATCTAAAGCGAAAATTACCTCGCACATAAATATACTCATTATAATTTAAGCCTAACAAATAAACTTTTTTTTTTAAAATATTTTTTTCTTTTTCACAGAATTGTTCTTTGTTTGTTTTTGTGTGCACATATATATTACCCTCTTTTTTTTTAACCTTCTCAATAGTATCATAAGATTTAATTAAATTATATTCAAAGTCATGAACAAAATTATCATGTGCAAATTCAAACATTTTATAAATATGCATTTATTTTTACTTTACAAAAAAAGGCATTTGAGTATATATTTTTTTCTTTTTTTTACATAAAAAAATTCTTACCATAATTTAATATTTTAAACAAAAAAAAAATGTAACTTTTTATAACTTTAAAAGTATTTTAATAATATTCCTTTATTTCTATGAGTAAAAATATTTTTAAATATTAATACGTCTGTTTATGATTTAATTTACGTTGATATTAAGTCCCTTGAAAAAATTTGATTCCATTTTAAAATATATTAATTTTTGTTAAATAATTTTTCTAATTATCTACTTTAATTTTTTAATTTTAAATTTGAATTTAAAAAAATTATATAAAGAAAGAAAACATAAAAATAGAATGAACATAAAGTTTAATGTAATAAAATGTTTTTTTCATATTTATTAAATGTCACATATTTCATGTTTTCTTGGTGAAAATAAAAATTTTAAATTAACATTTTAATATATATAAAAAAAAAAAAAAAAATAGGAGATATATTGATGATACACAATTTTAATTGAATTGAATATATATATATATATATATGACAATATACCTTCAATATATCAGACAAAAAAAATATAGATTTCTCTTATAAATAAAACAATATCTTTTTTTTTTAAGGAAAATATCGTTCTTATACAAAAAAAAAAAAAATAAAATAAAATAAAATAATAAATTTACATATTAAAATATGTTATATAGAAAATAAAAGGGCTGAAAGTCTTATATTATTATACCAAAAAATAAAAAAAAAATGAAATTAAAAAATTTTATGAATACGTAAAATTCTACTGAATTATTAAAATATATAGTAAAAAAAATTTTTTAAAAATAAATAATTTTTGTTAGATTTAAAACTTTAATAATGCCAAGAAAATGGCTAAAAAACATTTATTTTTTTTAATCTCTTAAACATTTTCATATATTTTTTTTTATAAAAAAAATACAAAAAATATAGAATTTAAAATAACGAAAACAAAAAAAAGAAATAACTATGTCATTATTTTCTTCATTTAGAAATCTTAATTCTTAAATGAATGCAATAGAGGATGTAATAATGGGACATTTAATTTTCACTTTAATGTATTTCACGTAGTTTTACCTAGTAAAAAAAAAAAAAAAAATAAAAATTATATAAAGATGAAAAGAAGAAAAAAATAAAAAAAAAATTTAATAACATTATTTTCATAAATATATAAATTCATTTATATTTTTTTTTCATGCACACACCAAAAGTTGAACAAAAATATTAAAATTCATATAATTCTTTATATTCATTAATGCTAAACATTTTTGTAGACTTTTAAATCTTTTTCTTTCTTTTTATTTTTTTATATTAATTTCTTATAATTCTTTACATAGTCATTTAAAAATGGATAAAAAAACTTTTTTGTAATTTATTGAATATTATTTATCCATATTATTTTAAATTATTTTTATTTTTTTTTTTTTTTTAAATTCTTAATAGTATTTGACTAAATCTTTTTTTTTTTTTCATCCATCATTTCTTAATATTTTTTTTCTTCTATCTCTTTTTCTTTTTTATATTATATTTTTTTACTTTGATTTATCTTTATTTTTATTTAAAAATGGAAATTCTTTGATTTTTAATTGCTGTAGTTTACATAATAAATAAAAAAAAAAAAAAAAAAAGAAAAAAGAGACAAATAAAGTGAACTAGCAGGAAAATATATATTTTTTATTGTAATATTTTCAATTTCCCTTTTTATTAATTTTCTTATGTTAAATTTTTATGTATAATATACAATAGTGGAAAAAATGTAATGAATTTATGATTATAAATGTTACAAGAGATTAATATTTAAAAATGATATTATATATGAATGATAGAATACATTAAATAATTAATAAAGTATATATATATATATATATATATATATATATATATATATATATATATATATATATATATACTCATTTGAAAATGTATGAATATATATTATGTTTATGATTAATATTTTTCCATATTATATTTAATTAACAGAATATACTAATTTTCTCAAAACTTTATAGAATCATATATATTTTTTATATTATTTCTATATCTTGTAATATTTAATTTTCATAATAATTTATTAAATATAATTTTATTCTTTTATATAAGAACCTATTATATTTTATGAATTATGCTTTTTATATAAGTATTTTTATTTTTTTTTTTATTATTTTTCTTCAGGTGGGGAAAAATAGTTAGCAGCGTTTCAAATGCTCTTGATTTTAACCAAGCTACGTTAAGTGGATGTATAGATATTATTTGTATTGAATCAGAAATTGTTAATAGTTTAAAAAATGATAAAATAGAAGTGGTATATAAATCAACTCCATTTCATGTACGATTTGGAAAAACAAAATTATTAAGATCCAAAGAAAAGATTGTTAGTATTTTAGTTAATGGAAAAAGTACTAATTTACATATGAAATTAGGTAGTGCTGGTGAGGCTTATTTTGTTGAAAAAACTTATGAAGATGTAGAAGAAGAATTAGAAACATCACCACTTTCATCTCCTCGTAATGAATATAATAACCAAAATTGTGATCAACATATTGATAGTTGTAGTGTTAATGATTCTGTAAATAATTATAAAATAGATGAAGATTGTGATCAAATATTTATTAATACGACAGAAGGAAAAAAATTAAATGAAAAAAATTATAAAGTAGAAAGAAATAAAGTTAAAAAGAATAATAAAGAAAAAAAAAAAAAAAATGAATATAACAAAATAGATGAAGAAGAACAAAAAGAAAATATAGAGATGGAAGATGAAGAACTAGATGATGAAAAAAAAAAAATAGAAGATGAAGATCAAAACGTAAATTCAGAATGGTCTTGGTCATGGGGAAGATTACCTCATTTAAAAACACATGATTATATTTCTGACAATTGCACTGTTATTTCTTCAAATAATAAAAATAAAAAAAAAGAAAAACTAAAAAAATTATATAAAAAAAGTGAGTCTGTTAATGAACACACTTTTTGCAAAGAAAAAAAAAATTATATAAATAAAAGAAATTTAAGTGAAATTAATATAAAAAAAAATACAAAAAAGGATAAAGAAATAAAAAATAATAATTTAAATAATAAAAGTAAAGATATAAAGAAATATAAAGGTGATATGATAGACCATTTTAAAAAAGAACATAAGAGTAGAAATAATAAAGAATTTTACAATAAAAACGATGAGTATGTGAAAAAAGAGTGTAAAACCATAGATTCGACAAGAAGAAATGAAAAGAATTCATATAAAACTGAAAAGGGAAAAATAAATGAATATGATAATAACAAAAAGAGAGAGAGTACTAGTCTATACCAACCAGTTAATAAAGATAATAGCAAAGAAAAAAGTTACAATGTGGATAAAGAAAGTTTAAAATTAGATTTAAAAAAAATAAAAGAAAAAGAAAAAGTAGGAAAAAAATCAAATATATTAGTAGATGATTATTACGATAGAGAAGAGGAATCTAATGAGGAAGATAATAATCATTTTTACTCGAAAGAACAGGAATATAATATTGATGATGATATACAAAATAGGATAGAATGCAGTTTATGTGGTCATTTACTAATTAATCAAAATGCAGATAATGAACACAACGATTACAGTATAGAAATACATAATAAAAATATATTTGAAGCAAATATAGTTACATATGATCAAATAGATAAAAACTCTAATTTGTGGTATCATCCATCTCTTGTTTTTCGATTTGATAAAAAAGATCCGTATTATCCGTCTAGGGTTGCATTACCCTTATTAGCATCATGGGTTGTGTTTAATCAACCCTTATCTATTTTGGCAGTTGAAAAGTTATTAAATTCTTCCTTAACGTTAATGGAAATAAAAGATAAAAGCTGGAGAAATTGGTTTGGTGTATCTAACGCAGAATATGATAATAGCTTAAGTATCAGAAATTTAAATAAAGATACAAAAGAGGAGGAAGTTATAAATGAAAATAAAAAAAAAGAAGGAAAAATAAATAAAAATGATTTTAATGAATCGCTAGATATAAAGAATAAAAAATTGAAAAAAAATGTGCAACACTTATCATATAATGAAAACGAAATAATTAAAAAGGATATCAAAAATAATGAAGAAAAATTAAAAGTGAGATATCGAAAATCATTAAGACCAACTTCTGAACAATTGCAATCATTAAATTTAAAAGAAGGAGCTAATACTATTACCTTTTTAGTTACTTCATCTTTACAAGGCACAAAAAGCATAAATGGTACTATATATTTATGGAAAAAAAATGCAAAAATTGTTATATCAGATGTCGATGGAACAATAACTAGATCAACAGTATTAGGTCATATAATGCCTATAGTAGGTAAAGATTGGTCTCATGTAGGTGTTTCACAATTATTTAACAAAATAAATAATAATGGATATCATATTCTATACTTAACTGCAAGAGCTATTGGTCAGGCAGATTCAACTAGAGAATATTTATTTCGTTTAAAAAGAAACGATAATAATAAATTACCAGATGGTCCTTTAATACTAAGCCCAGATAGACTCTTTCCATCATTTAAAAGAGAAGTTATAGATAAAAAACCATATATTTTTAAAATTGCAGCACTTAGAGATATACGAAATTTATTTCCTATTAATCATAATCCTTTTTATGCTGCCTTTGGAAATACAGAAAGTGTAAGTAGAAAACAAATACATATAACTACAAAAGTTTAATAATATTTATTTAACAATTATTTATTCACAATTTTTTTTTTTTTTTTTTTTTTTTTTTAAAGGATCATAGAGCTTATATATCTGTTGGTGTTCCAGAAGCTAAAGTTTTTATTATAGATAATAGAGGCATTGTTCATCATGTCAATTCTACATATGCTAAAACGTAATATGAGAAAATTTAGATACATATATATATATATATATATATATACAAAAGGGTATATAACCATTTTTTTTTTAAATTATTTTTTTAGTTATGAAACTATGAGTGAAATAACGGAGCACATGTTTCCATGTATAAAAAATGATAAAAAAAGAGAAGATGATGATCAAGTAAAAAAAAAAAAAAAAAAATTATAAATAATAATAGTATTTATTTTACAATAATTATGTTATTATAATTATAAATTTTATTGTATTTTTTTTTTTTTCTTTTTTTTTTTTTTTTTGGCATTAAATGCTCATATATAAATATATACATATATACATATACTTATTTTTTCTCAATATTATTCTTATATATATTATGTTTTTAATAATTATTTGTTATTTTATTTATTTGTTTTATTAATTGATACTTTTTTATGTTTCATACTATATATACATATATATATGTATATGTGACATTTTATTTGATTTCTTTTTCACTTTTTATGATTTTATCCTTCAATTTTTGAAATTGTTATATAAAATTCACAACCTTATTTAATTTTAACTTCAAAAAAAAATATAAAAAAAAAAAAAGTAAATATTTTTTTTTTATGAAAAGATACAATTAGGTATTTTTTTATATATATATATATATATACTGTTTTAATATTTGTTAAGTATATGTAAATATTTTATATATAAATTAAGTATAATATTATTGTACTTTTTTTACATTGAATTTATGCATATGCATTATTTTTATTTTATTTTTTTAATCTGTCTATTATAAGAAGTATATACTTTCTTAGTGTAATGTAAAAATAAAGTTGTTCATATCATATATACAAATATATATATATATATATATATTATTAATAAATTTATATATATATATATATTTATTTACATAATATAGAATTATAATAAGTTATATAAAATATTTTTGATCGAAAATAAACATGAGATGACATAAAAGTATATATATTGTCATATATATGTATGAATATTTAGCAAATATATTAGACACATTTAGATTTTTCTATTATATTTTTATTTAATCTTTATTATTTTATTTTAATTCATTTTATTTTATCTTTATTTTTTTTTTTTTTTTTTTTAGTACAATTCCTTTCAATATTGGAAGATAAATAGCTTAACTTTTTATGAAAAGTATATGAATATCAGTGATAGTAATTGAAATCTTTAATAACTTTTTTTTTTTTTTTTTTTTTGTTTTATAATTTTGTATTTTTTAATATAATTATATATTTAAGATTTTCAATTTTTTTATAAATTATAATTGTTTTTAATATATATGTGTATTAATAAAAACTTTTAAAATATTTTTAATTTACATAAATCATATATTTAATGATTCTTCTATTTCATAAATATTAAATTATACATTATAATTTTTTTTTTATTGTATTCTCCTTTTAACACCTTTTCATTATTAATTTTTAAGTGATCTAATTTATATATATACTTTTGCAATAATTTTAAGTAACTAAATGGTTCTTAATATTATATGCAAATTATATATTTTTTTTTATATAATTTAATTTAAAATAACTAAAAAAAAAAAGATAATTTAAAAAAAAAAAAAAAAAAAAAAAAACTTATAAAAATAACATTTTACTTAATTATATGGGTATATTTCATTTAAAAAAAAAAGAGTACATATGAAAAATATTAAAAATAAAAAAGTACAAATATATATTAAAAAAAAAATTAAGGTAAGAAATCGTATGTATATACAAAATTAAAAAAAAAAATTGGAAAATGGTAAAACATTTAATAATAATATTTAAAATATATGACAATAATAATAAAAAAAAAATTAATCAATTATAAGTTCATCTAATTTCCAGTCTTCATAACTACCATTAGGCAAGTATCTTCTTAATATAAAAGGAATAGATTTATTGTATAATTCCTTTTCTGCTATGACTAATGGGTCATTATTTAAATAGTTATCATATTCACTTTTATTATTTGAATCATTCTGTGTTTCAATAGGTATAGTTAAAGGGGCATTTAAGCTTATCTGTAAAGCTCTTGTACCAATAATTCTTGCTTTTTCATATTTTGTTAAATATGGACTTGTTATTCTTATACTATCGTCATTTCCTTCAGAGTTTTCATAATCTGACTTATCTTTCTTTATTTGATTATCAGTTATTATATCTATATCATTATCATAATTATCTCCATCGTCACTATCAACACCCTGACCAAATTCATCTCCCATATATTCATCATCATCATTCAAATAAACATCATTAAAACCATCCACTAAAAAAAAAAAAAACAAAAAAACAAAAATATCAATTATTGAAGGTATATTTAAAACAAATGGGAAAAATAACGTTTCTCATTAGCATATATATAAAAAGAAGTATTTATATTTAAATAAAAAAAAATTATATATTATAAAAATTTTGTTTTTTCTTTTCTTTCTTACTTTTAACTTTGATGATAAATAAAAAAGTAATGAAAATTAAAAATTCTATAAAAATTAAAAATTCTATGAAAATTAAATTTTAACTTCTATTTTGTTTTTATAAAATAAAAACAAAATTTCATAAAAAAATATATACGTATATCACATATATAAAATAACTTATTTAAAAATACTATGAGTACTGAATAATGCTTTATTTAAATTGAAAAAATGCATAATACAATTTCATTGCAAAATTAATATGAAAAAAATTTCAAAGTTATTTAATTTAAATATTTCTATATATGTTTTCTATATTTTTTTAATCAATTTATTAAAATTTTTTTTTTTTTTTTAAATTATTAAAATTTTTAAACATATATATTTTAAAATATATGATTCATTCTTTTTTTTTTTTTTTTTTTTTTTTTTCAATCATGTTTTGTAATTTTACTTATATCTTTGCATATTTATAAATAAAAAAAAAAAAAAAAAAAAAATCGGACAATGAAATAATAAATGGAAGCCAAAAGATTATAAATTATTTTAATAGAACAAGATATTTTTTAAATGTAAGAAGGCATTAATAAAAAAAAAAAAAAAAAAAAAAAAAAATAGAAAAATAAAGAAAAAAATAATTTAAATTTAAATTTATAAAAATAAAAAACAATAATCTATTTTATTTTATATATGCAACCATTTAATCCAAACATTTTATGAGAATTTATATATTTAAATACTTTTATAAACTAAAAAAAGAAATAAATGTATATCTATAGATAGGTTGTATAATTTATTTTTATTGTGTATAAATATAAATAATAAATATAAAGAAAAATTCACATAAAAGTATTAACAACTATTCGTATTTAAAATCAAAGTAATAAAAATTTGTGTATTATTATTAAATATTTTTAAAGAACTATAAAAGATTTTTCATTTTTATTTTTATCAAATAAATTGGTATGATCAAAGAAATATATACATTAAAAGAATATAATTTCAACCATACTTAAGTATATTTTATTTTGTAAAGATAAAAATAATATATATGAAAAATTGTTTTTTTTTTTTCTTTAATAGAGATAATTTTAGGAGAAATATTTTTTTTTTTTTATACTTAATAAAATGTAAGAAAAATTACTTAAATTCCTGCATTTAAAATTTCATTCATTAAATTCAAATAACTCTGTGTACATAAAACAATTTACGCACATCACTTAAATTACACAATATATCATATAGACCTTTTTTTTTTTTTTTTATTTTTTTAAACTATTTTAATAAAATAACTTATCATAAAAGACAAATGAATTAAAATTTTATAAGCTTATAAAACAAAAAAAGGCTAATTTTTTTTTTTTTTCTTTTAATTTTGAAACATTATAAAATTTATTAACACTAACAATTTGTGTATTATTATATAGTATAAAATATAGAAAAAAAATAGTAATATATGAAGGATAAAAATAACATTTTTTAAAGTATATATATTAGTAGCTTCAAGAACATAATAATTTTTAAAATATAAAATTGCTAATTTTAAGAATATAAAAATAATATAATTATATTAAAACAATAGTAATAATGTAATAATTTTTGAAAAATAAAAATATAATAATATTTAAAATATAGAAAAAAAATAGTTTAAAAACATTTATAATTTTCATTTTTATTATTCGCAGTAATCCTAAATTGTTTTCTAAGCTTAATTTCAAACTAAATATATCATAAAATAAAAAGATAAAAAATTAGAAAAAAAAAAAAAAAAAAAAANAAAAAAAAAAAAAAAAAAAAAGTCCAATAAAAATATAAAAGAATAAAAATTTGTTTATGCAATAATAATTTATTTTACATATATATATTTATATGTATGTGTGAATTCAAATATATAGCATAATGCATTATTTTAATATATAAAAAGATAAGTTATTATCAAAAGAATAAAGCAAAAAAAAAAAAAAAAAAAAAAAGTGTTAATATAAAAAATATATAATAAAAACAAAAGGAAATTCAAATATATTTAAATGGAGAATAAAAATTAATATAAAAAAAAAAGAAAATAAATGATTAAAAATAAGAAAAATAAATTCAATGAATAAAACAAAAAAAAAAAAAATTTAAGATATACTTAGTATTGTGCTAAATGTAAAAATTATACTTTAAATAAAAAATAAATGTCTAAAAAAGTTATGATATTTTAAAAATAACAATATTAATGCAACTATTGATAAATATATTAACAATTAGCATTAATATATTTATATTTATTTATTTATCTTTTTTTTTTTTGGTATATAAGTAAATATATATTTTTTTTTTTAATTAAAGCAAATAAAACTTGTATTTTTACCTTAACACATTTTATTTTATTTTTTTTTTAAATAATAAATTATATTTTACAATTACATAATTTTGTGTAATATATATATATATATATATATATATATATATATATATATATATATATATTTTAATTAAAAAAAAATGAATGATGATAATGAAAGGATAAATAGTGAAATTCTAGAAAAACAATATGAAATAATAAAATGTGCGAAATATCAAGACTTCATTAGAATGCAGATATTAATACAACCATATATTCTAAATAATGATATTGAAATGCTGAATTCTATAAACATTTTACATTGGTCTTGTTATTGTGGATTTACTGAATTAGTAAAAAAATTAATTGATCTAAATTGTGATGTTGAAAAAGAAGATTTAGTAAATAGTGACACATCTATCTATTACGCAATTAAAAATAGTAATTATGAAATTGTTTTATTATTAATAAAAAAATTTGGTGCCTCTATTTTGTTTCATAAAAATAGAAGAAAAATGAGTCCATTTTTAACTGCTATTAGTGAATTTAACGAAGATAAAATATTAGAAACATTACATATTTTAGAATTGTTATATATGAATGGGATTAGCTTAGAAGAACAAAATGAACATGGACAAACTGCATTATTTTTAAGTGTAAAAAAAAATAACATAAGTACATTACAATGGTTATTAAGTAAAAACGTAAATATAAATCATCGGGATTTTTATGGGAATACTATTTTACATATAGCTGTTCGATATAGTGATATAGACATTATTAGATTGTTGTGTGATTATGGTTGTTTAAATTTGGTGTATTGTTCTTCTATTGAAAATAAAAATACCAACGTATTTCAATTATGTATTAAAAATAGATATTTTTTAATATATATACTACTAAAAAAGTGGATATTACAAAATAAAATTTGTAAAAATTTAAAAATATGTAAAACTATTTATGCTTTCTATTTTTGGTTTTTTTCTTTATTAAATTTAATTATATATTTCAACATATCATATTCTTTTTCATTAATAACTAAATATCAAACCTTATCTATTGTATGGCTATCTTTGTGGATTTTTCAGAAATTTTTGTGGTGTCTTTTATATTTTAGGAGTCCAGGTTTTTATAAAGAGAATAATGTGTTTAATAAAAACAAGAAATATTCTAATTATATTTATGATGGATCGTTTAAAAGAAAAGCAGAATATCATTTAAATAGTATTGAAAAAGAAATATATCAAATAAATAAAAAAATCATTTCAACAAATATTAATTCTTCAAATGTACCCAATTTTAATGATTCTTTATTTAACAAATATAACGATTTATTACTTAACTTAGAATATCAAAAGTTATCATTGTATTCTCATGTATCTCAAGAAAGGATTAATTCTTTAGATATCAATTATAGAAATGCTATATTAAATAATCAAAATCCTAGAGTAATATATAAATTTCTATATTTTTATATATTTAAAGATTTTTATATATTTTATATTATTTTTATTTTTAGAATGTTTGTGTTACTTGTAAAATAATTAAACCCGCTAGAGTACATCATTGTGCTGAATGCTTTCATTGTGTAATGTAAATGAAAAAAAAAAAAAAAAAAAAAACATTTAAATAAAATATTAAAATTTTATTTTTCCTTATTTTTTTAAATATTTTAATTTTTTAATATAAAATTATTATAGACATCAAGATCATCATTGTGTGTGGGTTGACAATTGCATAGGTAATCTACATAAATATATATATATATATATATATATATATATATATATATCATTCTTATTATCATAACTGTTGATATATGTTAAATATAGTTATTTATTCAAAATCATTATGTTTGTAATATTATCATTTTATTATAACATTAATTTTTTTATTTTTTGTAGGAATAAAAAATCAACGTTGTTTCTATATTTTTATATTATGTGTTTTAGTACTACTATTATATAATTATTATTATGTTTTCATTTATTTTCAAATGTTTTCTAAAACTATCAACTATGTAAGAAAATAAATTTAATAATATATATATTATCTCTGTATTTTATATACGATATTATATTTTTTTTTTTTTTTTTTCTAACAGGTATTTGGTTTGTTAGTTATTTTATGTAATTTCATTAATTTTACATTATTTGCATTCATAGCATATTTATTTGCACGTAATACAAGAACTATATTGACAAATATAACCTTTTATGAACATTATAAAAAGTAAAACTAAACTTCATATATAATCATATTTATCATTATAATATTGTATATATATATATATATATATATATATATATATATATATATATGGATAATTTTTAGGCCTAGTCACATTACTGAAAAATATAATACTGATTTAAGATGTTGGGATTTTCAAAATTTAAATTTCAAAAAAATATTGAAGTCTGAATAGCATATGAAAAAAAAAAAAAAAAAAATTATAACATATTTTTTCTACAATATTAAATTTACATAAAAAATATTCTAAAATTTTTTTTTATTTTTTAATAGAAATATATATTATTTTTGGTCATTAAATTATGATGAATCCTACATACGGCAATCGAAAAAAATAGTAATAATTATATATACATAAAAAAATATTATATATATATATATAAATTCATTAAAATGTTTTATTTTATTTTCCATAGTCAAATGAAATCGGTTATACATTAATTTCAGATAGTTAATGATAAAAGGAAGTTCTTCTTAAGTTTACTCTTTAGTTTTATCATTAATCATTCATGTCTAAAGATAATATTTTATATTATTCTTTATTACAAAAAATATAAGTCTCAATGATAAAATATATATATGTTTCTATTTATTTTATTTATTTATTTTTTTTTTATTATTAAACTTTGAAATTTTCATAAATATAAAAAATTTTTTTAAGTAAATTTTGTTTATTAAAAGTATTTATTAAAATATATTTATATAAAATCTTTATATATTTATATCAAACGTTCTTATATAAATACATACATAATATTCCAAAAATATACTATTTTCCTTTTTTTTTTTTTTTTTTTTTTTTTTTTTTTAAATTTGCCAAGTGATTTCCTGTTTTTTAGTGATGTTTTTGTTTTTAATTTTAATTATTATTGATAAAAAAATATATATATGTATATTGATATTTTAAAGATAAAAAAAATATTATAAGTTCTTCTATTTTATTATATTTTTTCAAATGAAAAATAAATCACATAAATATTTATTACACTGTAATAATTTATAAAAAAATAAATAAGAAAAGACAATACTTTTTTTTTTTTTTTTATTAATGCTTTTTAATAATTGTTAATTAAAACATAAAAAAATATACTATAATAAAATAAAAACAGAACAGAATTTAAAATATATTTTTTTTTAAATTTAATATGGAAAAAATAAATTTAAGATAATATTAAGTATCAAATGCATACTTTTTAAGTTTACACAATAATTATATTTTTATCATATGATTGTATTTACAATGTAGTGTTCTTATATATATATATATATTATACTTAAAAAAAATTAAAAATTATCACTTTATTTTTTAAATATTTTTTTAACATAATCCGTATGTTTAAATACAGTATTATATATATGTATGTCCTAATAATTTATTAAACTTTTAAATGGTCAATTTATAAAAAAAAATCATGTTAAAAAATTTTTTCATTAAAAAAAAAAAAAAAAATAGATATAAAGTTTATATAAATATATATTAAATAAATTATGTTCATACTAAAAAATTTAACTAAATTATTTATAAATGTATATGTATATACATATTTATAAATATATATATAAATATAAATATATATATATATAAATTAATCTTATTTTTTGTTATTATATATATAATGAATTAAATTAAACTTAACAAAATGAATAAAGAAAAATTAAAAAAATTACTGGAAAAAGAAAATAACAATAGAATAAACATAACAAATGTCAAATTTCGTAATTGTCTTTGTTTATATAATAATTATTCTAAATGTTATGTCAATATAAAAAAGAAATATAAAGATATTTTAAAATATGAAAAAATATACGGAAATGAGAATATTAAAATTAACGAAGGAAAGTCAATAGATTATAATAAAGAAAGTTGTTTAGAATATACATATCCATATAGATATGATAATAATAGAAATATATTTTTAATAATAAATAGTAAAAACATTAATTCTGTTAATAATTGCATATATAATAATGATATTATATATATAATATATAATAATAAAAAGTATGAACATGTTAATTTACAAAAAAGAAAAAAGAAAAATAAAAAAAAAAAAAGTTCATATAATACTCAAAATGATACTTATAGTAGTTTAACAAGTTATATATCCAATGAAGAAGATGTAAACCCAATATATAATAGTACAATATTTGAAACAAGTAATATGAATTTTTGTGAAAGAGAAAAAAAAAAAAAAAAAAAGTCCAAATTAAACAATAAAAGAAATTTTATATATTCGGATGATGATTCAGATAATCATTATGAATATGTTTTTACACATATAAATTCAGACTTATATTTTTTAAGTGTATCAAATGATCATATAGAAAAAGAAAAAAATTTTTATATACAAAATGAGAAATTTACAAACTATAATGATGTAATTTTTAGAAGAATAAAATTTCAAAAAACATTATTTATAAATTTAGATACTTATAATTCATGGATTATTATTAAAAGAAGTATATTATTAAATGAATACTGGAATCGCTTAAATAAAAATGATATAGTAGATATTAATGATGTACTATATGACGTAATTAATATCTATGAGAGAATTATTAATTGTTATACAAGAATTTATATTAATGACAGTTTCCTTCTAATAAATAATAAAACAAAAGAAATATTGGGTGTCCAAAAAATTGAATTAGATAATAATAGCGTTAGTAAAAATTCAACAAATTTAAATCAAAACGATAATATATTGAATAACTGTACAGGTTATGAAGAATCTAATTTGTACAAATTGGTACTAATAAAAAAAATGAATATCAAACATTTATTCAATAATGATACAGATATTAATATTACTTTTAATTTTCATAATGTTTGCTTAACCAGTTATAATAAGTCAGATCATAATAATTCATATCTATTAATTCATAACTATAACTTAAATAGTGATAGTCAAATTTTATTAAATTTTACGATGAACAAAAAGCATTTAGAACATAAAACTAGTAATAATAATACACCTCTTAATAGTAATTTAATAGATACAGACTTACTAAATAACGAAGATTATATATATTTTAACAATTATATAACACAAAAAATTAGTGAAAATTATTTTAACTATAGTTTATATATAAAAGAATGTTTATTAATTATTGATATATTATATATTTTAAACAATAGTTATGGTAACTTAATATATATAAAAGAATTTTATAAATATAATCATGAAAATTATTATTCTAATATTTATAATATTTTAAAAAAAAATAAAAATTATGGTGACAAAAATAAAGAAGAAAATAATTCAATTTATTCATTATCATCTTATGGAGAAAATTCAAATGCCACATCAAATTCTTCTCAAACAGATTCTTCTTCCATATCATCAGACGATGAAAATAATGAAAACTTATCTTTTGATGAAAAAGCAAATTTTGATGAAAAAGGAAAATTTGATGAAAAAGGAAATTTTGATGATTTGAATAATGATTTAATATACATAATGCCAAAGTACAAAATTATTTTTCATCCAATAATATTTTCACACAAAGAAAGTAATAACAGCAATATAGAAATTACAAAAGAAATATTAAAATTGGGAATTTATTTAAGAAAAATTCAAAAATTTATTGAAATTAACAAAAGAGGTCACTCATGTAATTTTACTTTTGATATATTCTGTTGTTGTTTATACAATATAAATTTACATATTTTAAATCATATAAATAAAATTGAAGAAAATATAAGAAATATTTTTAATTTTACTAAAATTAACATGAATGATAAAAGTGATTTATCATTATGTCTATTTGATGAAAGTAGATTATCTACATGTATAGATCCGGAAGAAAAAAAAATATTTTTTAGTATAAATAATTTATTTCATAAAAATGTACAAGATTTTAACTTATTTTTCAATATTAATATAGAGAAAACAGAAGATATATCTTTATACAAAATAAAAATAAGTATACTCCCATTGATTCAAATAGCCAAGTTATTGAATAGAATTATAAACAAAATAATAATAAAAAAAAAAGTTAACAATTCAAAATATTTAATTGATCTTATTTATAAATTACAAGAATATTTAAATGTAGATGATATCAATAAAAGAGTTCTTTTATATTTATTAAAAAATGTAACTACACCATTATTTGATTTCATTAAAAATTATATTTTTTATGGAAAAGTTAAAGATACATATAAAGAATTTTTTATACATGAAAATAAACATATTACTCCATATTATAAACAAAATCATAAGTTTTATCATAATAATATTTATAAATATATTTTTAAAAAGTATATTGATTTATCTACTAATTATTGGGGAGCTAAATATATTATATTAAATAATAAAGTTCCTTTTTTTTTAAAAAATATTTGTAATTATATTTTTATAACTGGCAAATATATTGATGTTCTATCAGCTTGCTCTAAATTATTTAATTTACAAAGTAAAAAATTTGTTTATTTAGATAATAACAACACTTCTGATATTTACATTAATAACATGGTACCAAATAATGAATATAAAAATAATGATTATAATTGTAATAAGAATAATATTAATAATCAAAATCAAGAATTTTCATTGAAAAAAACAAGTAATAATAAGATAGAAGATGAATATTATAATTATATTAATATTCAAGACAATAAGACATGCTACTTAATTTATGATAATGATAAAAAAATATATGAAGATTTGATTCATAATCAACATTTATATGCATCAAAAAAAATGTTTGAATTATATATAAAAAAAATAGACATAAAAGAAAAAATAAAACATCATTATTTTTTTTTCTTTTTACAAATTAGCGATTATCTTAAATATTTTTATATACTTTCTCATGAACATTTAGAAAAATTATATAATAATAAAAAAAATAATATTCTCAATAAATTAAAAAATTATTATGATATATCCATACGTTCATCTGTTTTATATAATTTAAAATATAGAAAAGATTACAACATTGATGTTTCTGACATATTAAATATTATTGACAATGTTAATTTAATTATTGATTTAAAAAATTTTCATCTCAATGATGATCAGATTCATTTTAATAAAGAAAATTCTATTTATGATGAAGAACAAAAACAAGGGCACAAAAGAGAACAACAAGAAGAGTATTATCATAACAGAGAAACAGAAGAAGAAGAAGAAGAAGAAGAAGAAGAAGAAGAAGATGATGATGAAGTGAATAAAGAGGAGTACGCTGATGGTGAAAAAGAAAGCAAATATGATGATGAAGATGAAAAAGAAAGTGAACAAGAATATGAGAAAAAATTAGAAGGAATAAAAAAACAAAAAGAAGAAAAAAAAAAAACAAATATGTACATGTTTAATAATAAAAATAATTATTCAAAATTAAGTGAATTTAAAAATAATAATGCAGAAAAATATAAAGGAACAAAAAAAAAATTTATGTCTAACATAAAAAATAACATGCTAAATATTCAAAATGTCCAAGCTAATATTAATGTAGAAATTTATAAAGGATTAATATTATCATATCATAATATATTTCCTTATAATTTAATATTTAATAACATAACTATTTTTAAATATACTTTAATTTTTAGAATATTAAATTACTGTAAATATATAGAGCATAAATTAACAGAGGTTTGGCTTAATCATATGTTTGTTAAAAATATTGATATGAATGAAGAATGTAATAATAATTTAATGATATGCATTCATACAAGAGAAAGTATGCTTCACTTTTTAAAATGTTATTTATATCATATTCAGAACGATGTAATAAAGTCTGAATATCATTGTATGAATAACAAATTAAAGGAAACATTAATTTTTGATGATATAATATACATTCACAATAATTATTTAAATAACATACTTAAATATTCCTTTATTATAGATACAAATATTATTAACTGCATTTTAAAATTAATTTCTATTGCCCATATATTTACAAGACATATTCTAAAATTTAGTTTTGATAAGAATGAACAGGTAGAAAAATTATCTCATGAAAATCAAAATTGTAGTTCATTGAATAGAAATGTAATTAATAATAAAAAAAACAATAAAAGTAACTATCACAAAAAATTCATACAAGAATTACTAAGAGACAAAGCATATATATCTATGATACATAATACCATCAAACATTACGATAAACATTTTAAAGTTTTCTTTCTTCTTTTAACAGAATATGTAAATAATAACATTGATGATTATGCTCATAATTTTTTAATTAAATTAGATTACAATTTTTATTACACCAATAAATATAAAATCCCTTATCAATTAAATTCTGCTAATGAATGTAATTCTGAATGTAAAAATGAAAATTTTTCTAGTTATATAGATAATTCAAATTTAAGTAGCTTTGAATCTAATAACATGAATAACAAGAAGAAAATTTTTAATAATGCGAATGATAATAACAACATAAGTAATATTGGTACCAATTTAAATAATAAAGGTAATTACTACATGGAAAAAAATGATTCTGGAAATTATATAAATTCTTTTAGTAATAATAATAATCAAATAAATTATAATTTACAGAATTACAATAATAATAATAATAATATAAGAATGCCAAATGACATAAAAAAAATGAATACATCAATAAATTCTGATCAAAAAGAAAGTTATAAGAATAACAGCGATATAAATAACAATTATGTGAACTTAACATCTATTTCTAATAATTTTATGAATGGTACAAATGATAAAAATACATATAACCTAACATCTTTGCATAAAAGTGATTTAAAAAATCAATTAATTAATAAGGCAAATTTAAATGAAAATAATTTTATACCTTTTAACCAAAAGAATAATCAAAATATTCCTTTTAATTGTAACAATTATGATGTAGAAGTAATTAATTATGATAATAAATTAAGTAAAATACCACGTAATGTTAATTACAGTAAATTGCAAAAGTATAATTTATGCAATTTAAATAATGAAAATATAAGTAACATTAATATAAGTAATATAGATATAAATAGTATAGATGGTAGTATATATAATAACAAATTTAACTCTTAAGCATACCTAATTTTTAATTTATCCAATATAATAATATTTTACATTTTTTCAAATATTTTTAAAAAATATTTGTACAAAGATAAGAAAAACTTTTTTTTTTTTTAAACAAGTGTTTTAATATTTCTGATCATATTTTTATAATTTATTATTTTATTTTTTTAAATTTTTAAAACCTCATTAGGTTTATTAAAAATACCCAATAATTTTATATGCTATTTCTTTTCTCTCAATATATGAAAATATATTTTTTTCATTAACTTTTTTAAAATTTATATATTTTTAACCATTTTTTTTTTTTTTTTTTTTTTTTTATATTTATATATATATATATATATATATTACAATTTTTATATAAATTTATGTTAAAAATATATTTACAAATTTTCCTTTTTTATATTAAAGTTACTATTTAACATTAAAATTGTAATTTCAAATATTCAAAAGAAAAAACATGTGTGTTATTAAAATATATGTAAATAAAAAAAAAAAATAGATAAAATATATATCTCATTTTTTTATTATATTCACTAATTAAGAAAAAATATTTACCTATTTAAGTGTTATTTATAAAGTTTTTTATTTTTTTTTTATTTTATTTTATTTTTTTTTTTTCTTTAAAATGAAATGTGAAGTTGATGAAACATTTCTTAAAAGTACAAAAATTGATGAAGAGAAATATAAGAACTATATAAATTATATGTATTATTACCATAATAATGAGTTAAAAAAAATAGACTCTTCTTACTTTAATGATAAGTATTTGGGTTTGTTTTTTGGTGCCTCATGGTGTAAATACTGTTTAACATTTGTAGAAAATTTGAATATTTTTAAAAAGAATTTTCCTTTTATTGAAATAATTTACATACCTTTTGATAAAACATATCAAGATTATTTAAGCTTTTTAAAGAACATGAATTTTTACAGTTTACCATTTGACAATTACTTGTATATTTGCCAAAAATTTCAAATAAAGAATTTACCTTCTTTTATGCTTATTAGTCCAAATAATAAAGTTTTAGTAAAAGATGCAGTTCAATTAATTAAAACAGAAACATATATCAATAATTTAAAATCCTTAATAAAAAATAATACAATACATCCAAATAATTTCAAATTTAATAATCGTTTTCTAGATTTGTTTTATAATTAATATATATATATATATTTTTTATTTATATATGACGTAAATTAATTAATATATATTATCATTTTTTTTTTTTTATATATCTAAAAATTAAAATTTTTTTTTTTTTTTTTTTTTTGAAAATAATATAAATATATATGTACAGAAATATAAATTGAAGGAGAAAAAATAATGCATTTAAAATAACACTGAGTAAAAATATATAAAAGAACATTTTTTAAAGATTATTATAGTATATATGACTTCGACATTATAAAAAAAAAAAAAAAAAAATATAAATAATTCTAGAATATAAAGAAACATAAAATTACTGTATAATTAGAAAAATAAATGTTACTATATAATTAAAATATAAAAGGAATTATCATTAATGTTATGTATTACTTATTTTAAAAAAGGTATTATAGAAATAGGGTTCTCAATTAATCCTTTCAACTTTTTAGAAAATTGTGCTAAAGTTGCTCCATCTATAAATCTATGATCAGCTCCATATGTTAAATTTACAGTATCAGAAACCATTATATCATTTAACGAATTTAATTCATTTTTTTCATTTTTTAAAAATAATTGTCTCTGAACTTTAGATACTCCTATTATACATGCTTGGTTATCAAATACTATTGGGGTAGCGAAAGATCCAGATATAGCACCAAAATTACTAATGGTTACAGTACCATCAGATATATCACTTTTACTTAATTTCATATTAATTGCCTTATCACGTAATAGTGTCAAATCTTTTTGAATATCAATAATATTTTTTTTCTCAACATTTTTTATATTTGGAACTAATAATCCATTTGGTGTATCCATTGCTACACATACATTATGATTTTTATAAATGGTATAGCTATTTTTTTTTGAGTCAAATTTAGAATTTAATATAGGAAAATCATTTAATGCAATAGATATTAATTTTATTATTATGCAAGTTATTGTTATATTTATATTTTCTTTCTCATGTAAAATTTTTTTAAATTCATTTTTAATTTTTAATAAATTTTCAACCATACACATTTCATTTAAATGAAATAAAGGAATACTCAATGAATCATTCATGCTTTTACACATAGCCAATTTTATTCCTTTTAAGGGAACTTCTTCTAATATATCTACAGAGTTGTTATCTACTTTTTCAACATTATTCCTACTATTGTAATAATTTTCTACATCATCCATAGTTATAGTTTGTTTGTTAAAATATTTGCTTATTGTATTTATGTCTAAATTATATTCTTTTGCTTTTTTTTTAACACCTGGTGAAGCTTTAACAAAAATTTTTTGTTCTTGCTCTCTTTCAAATGTATTTGTATTTGAAATATTTGAAGGATTTTCTAAATTTAATTCATCTGATTGATCATCTAAGTCTTCTTCTAGTCGAATTTTATTTTCATCTTCATCTTCATCTTCATTTTCCTCACTTTTTGTTTTTTCTTCATTATTTTCTTTTTCTTCAACTACTCCATCTTCAGTATCTATTTCACAGAAGTACGATCCAACCTTAATTAAATCCTTTTCATTAGCATATTTTTTTATAAGCACACCGCTATATTTACTTGTTATATCTACAGATGCCTTATCACTTTGAACTGTTAGCAAACTCTCCATTTCATTAACTTGATCTCCTTCGTTTTTATTCCATTGAGTTATTTCTACTTCTGATATTCCTTCTCCTATATCAAAGAGTTTGCATTTAACAACTTTAAAATTTAGTGCACTTGTATTTATATAGCATACCTTATTTTTATTAGTTATTAAATTTATTCTACTGAATATATTTTTAATATTTTTTGTTATCATTTTCAAAACTGATGAAGATTAAAAATAAATATATATTTAAAATTAACTTATTAAAAAAAAAAAATTTTACTTCTATTTACCTATATATTTGTATTAAATTAATTTTTTTTTATGATATTTGTTAAAATTCTTAGATAATACAAATAATAGCGAATTTCTAAATTTCAAAATGTAACTTTTTTTTATCTTATTATTATGTAAAAAAAAAATACATTAATATTATGTTTTCATAATTTTATCAACAAAAAAAAAAATTCATATACCTTTACCATAAAAACAAAAGTTCTTTTTTTTTTCCTTTTATCAAATTAAAGTTCAATTTTTGATATTATAAAAAAAAAAAAAGAATCCTTAAAATAATTATATATAAAAGGAAAAAAAAATATATTTTTTTTTATTATTACAAATATTTAAAAAATACATTAAGAATGGAAAAATTCCATAGAATTAATTTTTAATTTCTTAAAATTTATTACGTAACATTATAATTATATAAAAAAAAATTTTTTTTTTAAATTCAACAAACAATAATTAAAAATGTATACTAAAATAAAAACTAAATTTTAAAACTTTTCTTATTATAAATAGATTTTTTTTTTTTTTTTAAAATAACATTAAATCTTAAAAAAAAAATTATGATTTTTCTATAATATATACATTTGTTATAATTTTTTTTTTTTTTTTTTTAAATTATTTTTTTTACAATAAATTATAATATTTAGTAAATATAATAATCTAAAAATATGGAAAACCAAGAAAAACCTACCTCTTCTTGGTCAATTTTGAAATATACATGAAACAGAACTGCATTTGATTAACGTAGATTTTTATATGCTATTAATAAAAATACGATATAACTTTGTAAAGTAAAATTTTTTAAGAAAAACGTGAAAAAAAAAAAATTAGTATTTTAATTGAACATTTTAAACTTATTTACAATAATTATCATTGAAGCAAGAGGATTGCAACGTTTACTAATTCTAATTAAAATTATTAAAAAATTATATTGAAACATTTCATTTTTTTTTTTTTAAAGTTATTAAAAAAAAAAATTTTAATCTCTAAGATTTAGTTTTAGATTATTTTTTATTATAAAAATCAGAATATACTGGCTGACTATTTAAATTATATTTTAAATAAAAGAAAGAATATTATTTTAAGTATATTATAATTTCAAGGATAACTAAAAAAAAAAAAAATATAAGCTATTTGAAAATATTATTTGGAAATTCATTTTATAAATTAAATAAACATTAAAATATTACATATTAAAAATAATAATATCTTTTATATAATTTTCTTACCTTTTTATTATATCTATATTGATATTTTTTTACGTATTTTTTTTTTTTTTTTTTGGTGTTTTTTTCGTATTAATTTAAATGTTTTTTAAAGAAATATAAAAATGTTATTAAAAAAAAAAAAAAATGTTAAATATTTAAAAAATAATCTATATTTCCAAAAAATTAGGATTATCTTAATTCGTGAAATTGAAATAAATAATTTTTTTTTCAATTTTTTATGAAAAAGAAAAGTAAAAAAATGAAAGAGAAATAAATATAAGTTCATGTTTCAATGAAAACTTTTTTTAGTACAATTTAAAATATGGAAAATTATATGGATTAAATAATTTAAATATTTGTTTCTCTTTTTTTTAAAGGATATGTTAAAAAAACATACATTATTAAAAATATGTGTGCAGCATAATTAGAATAATATTTTAAAAAGATATTCAATGCCAAAAAAAAAAAAAAAAAAAAAAAAATAAAAATTAAAGAAAGAAAAAGTTTTCATCATGAAAATATGAATATATATGTATATATATTTTTATTTTTATTCATTTAAATAATTTTAAATGTATATTTAAATATGAATATACCTAAAGACAATATTAATAATAGATTAAATGTGACACTAGAAGTTGGTAAGGATAAAAAATTAAAAGTCGTGAAAACATTTATGAATAATAGCTTAGATAATGTTAACTCAAGAATAAATAATCAATCAGGAAATTCATTTTTAAATATTGAGAATTACGAAAAAGGTTTAAAAATTTATTTAGGTCATTTTAAAAAAAATTTTGATAAATTTCAAGAAAATAATATTTATAATGTATATAATATTAATGAAATCAAAGAAAAGATGGATGAAGAAATTTCTGATGTGATGAATTTAATTAATGTTGATTATGATTATGCTTACCGTTTTTTAAAAGCATACAATTTTAATTCTAATTATTTAATTGAGGAATGGTTTAAGAATTTTAAAAATGTTTTATCAAAATCTGAATTTTCTCATTTAAAAGAAGATATTTTTGAGAATCCAAATTATAATTTACTTAGTAAGGAAAATGATACAGTTAATATAAAAGAGTTAGATAAAGATAATTCATCACATATATCTAATCATAATAACAATTTCAAACAAGAAAAATTTATTTGTCCCATTTTATTATTAGAATGTGATATTATAGATACTTATGCATTAAAATGTGGTCATAGATATTCAAAAGAATGTTGGTTATGTTATTTAAAAATTTCATTAAATGAAGATTTTGAAGAGAATGTTATTCAAAAGAAATGCATGGACACCGAATGTAAAGAATTAATCAAAAAAGAAGATTGGAAACAAATATGTGATGAAAAATTATATGAAAAATATGAAAAGATTTTATTAAATATTTATATAAATAAAAATTATAATTTAAAAAAATGTCCTAATAAAAATTGTGATTATATTATTGAATCTATTATGCTGAAAAATAATAACGTTATTTGCAAATGTGGCTACAATTTTTGTTTTATTTGTTCTTACGAATTTCACAGACCTGTTACATGTTCTATTATTAAAAAATGGTATGATTTAGAAAAAAAAGATGATAATAACATAAAATGGATAAATATTCATACAAAAAAATGTCCTAATTGTAATGGGTCTATTGAAAAAACCTCAGGTTGCATGCATATGAAATGTATTTGTGGTTATGATTTTTGTTGGCTATGTTTAGAAGAATGGAAAAATCACAAAGGTGGATTTTATAAATGTAACAAATATTTGGAAGAAATAAAGTCTAATGAAAATGAAATAAATAAAGAAAAAGAAGAAAAAAAAAATTCTAACAATATTCTTAATAAGTATAATCATTATAAAACAAGATTTGATGCACATCACTACGGAGAAAACTTCTCTATTAAAACACAGCTTCTTTTTTTATATAATTTCTGTGAATCAAATAATTTAGAAACACAAAAATTTGAGAACTTTGAAGATGCTATAATACAAACAATTAAATGCAGAAAAATATTAAAATGGTCTTATGCTTATGCTTATTTTTCAAATTGGAAAGATGAAAATCAAAAGTATTTTTTTGAATATCATCAAGGAGAATTAGAGAGAAATTTAGAAATTTTACAAAGAAAAACAGAGAGCATAAATTTAGATCAATTTATTAAAAATAGAGAAAACAAAAATATAATAGTAATTCAAGAATTAACAAAAACGGTTGATGCATTTTTTAAAAATATTTGTGAATTTATTGAAAATGATTTTACCAATTAAATTTTTTATTAATTATATATCATAAAAATTATTTGAGTATTTAAAAATAAATATACTTTTTTTTGATTATTTGTTTTTATTTTATTTCCCATATATATATTATTTATAATATACTTTTTTTATAAATAAAAGTTTGGCATTTTAATTTTTTTTTTTTTTGTTTTTTTTGATATTATTAATAAAAAAATATCAGTTAATGTATAAACTTAAATATATATTTTACCTTTTAATAATAAAATAAATCTTCCATATTTATTAAATGTGTTTTCAAAAAAATTTTAACTAAAAGTAATATTAGAAAAAATATATATGTTTTACAACTATTTTACATGTCTTCTTTTTATATGAAGCAGATAAATGTTTAAACACAGAAGAATTATTATTTTATTAAAACTGTCTTAAATATTATAACTATATTTTTTATTTTTATTTTATTTTTTTTTTTTTTTTTCTACATAGTTCAATAAAATTTAGTTACATATGAAATTTAATTTAGCTGATAAAATTAAATATATATAGTTAGTACTTAAAAAAAATGTAAATAATAAAATTTTATTTTTTTCTAAAAAAAGGGGCAGAATATATCTTAAATTTTTTTTTTATTAATCTAAAACTTTTTTTGGTATGGATAATGAATATAAAGATAAGCTATCAAGAATAATATTTTCAGTTCTACTCATTTTTTTTATATAAGCCATTAATTCATAATAATCTGCATCTTCAGATAATTCTATATTCTCATTTTCTACAAAGAAAAAATTGAAAACATGGATGTTTATACATATATTATTAAATTAACATTCTTTTTATAATAATTTAAGAATAATTTTTGATTGTTTAAAAAAAAAAATTTTATGTATTAATTTATGCTTACTTAATACATACAAAGTAAATTTTATGCATTCACTTGTTTCATTGTTTAAATGTTTATAACAAGGACCTTCATAATTTTTTTTGTTATAAGAATTCAAACCAATAATAGCGTTAATATCATTAAAATTCGTAAAATTATTTAATGAATTTACATGAGCAGGAATATTCCATGCTATGAAGTGAACAACTGTATTGGAATTACTAATACTAGTTATAGTAATAACATATGATTTTGTTGTACTATTTTTATCTATCCATTCAAAATTAGGTAATAAATTTTCTCCACCACAAGATTTACTATAAAATTTCTCTTCTAATATTTTTACTTTGTCAGAATTACATTTTTCAATACCAAATTCTGACAAAAAAAAATAGGAATACAATAAAAATACCTTAATTATAGCAATATAATTAAAGAACAACATAAATATCTCTTATTTAAAAAAATAAAATAAAATAAAATAATTATGTTTTCTGTTTTATTTAATTGTGTATATACCTGATTCTATAATATCAACTTTACCTAAAATTAATTTAGAGCTGTAAAAATAAAATAATATTATAATGTATGATGAAACCATTTTTAACTTATAAAAAAAAAATTATCTTTATAAGAGCATATATTTATTTTTTTTATATTTTTTTACAAGTTGAACTTTATATATATGCTTATATCTTTTTATTCTTAAAACTAAAAGTTATCTGAACTAATTTCAAATTTTTTTCATTTTTTGATAAATGTATGTACATTAATATAAATCTATGAAAAAGAAAAAAAATTATCGAAAAATCTCAAACTAAAAATGTTTGTTATTCTCTTTTGTATTTTCGTACTAAAGAAATAATCATTTTTATAAGGTTGAATAATAAAAATTTTTAGGCAAAATTATACTTTTTAAAATAAAAACAATTATTTATTTTATTGTTTTTTTTTTTTTTTTTTTTTTTATATTAATAATATATATTGCGTCAAATTTATATAATTAAATGAACAAAAATTAGTTTAAAATAATAATGAAAAAAAATGAGCCATTTTTTTTTTTTTTTTATAGTAATTTAACCATTAATTTGTAACTTTCATTTTAGAATTATTCTATATATACTCTTATTTTGTCTTATTTATCAAATAATGTTATTAAATTATACATTATAGTTAAAATATATAAAATAATAATAATAATAAATTTAATAAAAATGTGTTTTATTTGTTATTTAAAAAATATCCTTTTTATATACGTGATTAAAAAAAAAAAAAAAACTAATAAACATAAGAATAAATAAATCATTGCAATAAAGTAAATAGAACAAATATATATTCTAAATAAAAAAATTTTAATTTTTTTTTTTTTTTATATTTTATAGATATGAATTAATTCTTTTAATTTTAGAGAATACGATAAAAGCAAATATTATATAAAATACAAAATAAATAAGATAAACTCGTTTTTATAAAAAAAAAAAAAAAAAAAAAGTAAATAAATAATTGTAATTAATTATTAATAATTTAATTCATAGTATATTATGAAAAAAAAAAAGATAATAAAAATTTCTTCTTTAAAGAAAATAAATAAGAAATAATTATCTTATTTTATTAATGTCATTAATTCTTTTAATATAAAATATGAATAATTTAATATTTCTACATTGTTAACAAATATATTAAACTAAATATCATAAATACCTATAACAGGTTATATATATATTAAATAAGACAAAATAAATACATATATACATACGTATATACATAAAAATATATATATATTTATAATAATTTTAGAATATCAAAAACATTTTACATTATTCAGACATTTATATCATATATAATCAAAAGTTTTACATAATATTTAATATAAATACATAAGGATAAAAAATTTAAACGTATCTTATATAATTAGAATCATCTAAATTAATAGTCTTGTTAAATGTTAATTATAAGATTAACTATTTCTTGTAATAAATATTTTTACATTCATGATTCATAAATTTATTTTTAAATTCCTCATCTTTAATAGTGTGTTGATATGATTTATAATTATTTTTTCATATATACACTTTACTAATACTAGAAATTATTACATTTATGATTTTTCAAATAATTTAATTATATTTTTTTTTTTTTTTTGGTTGTTTCATTTTTTGCAAAAATAATTACAACATTTATTATTTGTAGAATCTCTGTCTTCTTTTTTAACATTGTTTATTTTATGATATAATTTTACTTCTGTAGCTTCATTTTTTTCTTCCATTTCATTAAATTGGTGATTTTTATATTTACTTGCTTCTTCATTTATATTTTGAAAAATGGCATTATTATAATAACTTTCTATATTACTTATGTTATTTTGTTTAAAAGCAGACATAAGTGGACTAGCTGTTTTTAGAAATTCTTTGTCACGCATAAAAGGAGACATTTTAATATTTCCATTTCTTGTATTAAAGTTAGCATATATATTTGCTTTTATAAAATCATTTGTGTAAAGTTCATGAGTTCTTAGTGTGTCAGTTTCAATCCATTTATTCTGTAAATAGGCCATAGCTAGAGGATGCGATGGATGTAAAGATCCAACAGAATGTTCTTCAAAATATTCCTTTTTCATTTCATTCATAAATGTTTCACTACTTTCAAAAATGTTTTCATCTGCATTGTTTGATTCATTATTTTCTCTTTTTTTTTTATATTCTTTATTAGTTATTTCATCTTTTTGTATGTTTTTATTTTCATTATTTGCATCTTCATTGTGCACATCACTTTTATTTTTAATTATATTTTTTTCAGAATCAGATTTCATATTTGAATTACCTTCCTCGGTTTCTTGATTATGTTTTTCCTCATTTTCTTCTATTTCATTTTTTTCTTTATTTTCTTCGTTTTCATCTTCTTCTTCTTCTTCTTTTTCGCCTCTTTCTTCATTTTTTATGTTCTCATCTGATTCTCCCTTTTCTTTGTTTTCCTGAAGTATATTATTTTCTTCATTTTCTCTATTTTCTTTAATTGTTATACTGTTTTCATTTTCTTCTCTAAAATTTATATATTCCTCTTTGGAATATTCTCTTTCTTCATTTCTATTATACTCCATTTGGCTGGAAATTCCTTTTTTATTTTCATTATTAGCTATAAAAAAAAAAAATTAATAAATATACAAATATAGGTTTCAAGAAATTCCTTTGTAAGATAAAAAGATTAAATAAAAAAAAAAAAAAAAAAAAAAAACTTCAATGGATAATCTACTCAACTTTTTAATATATATACATATGTATATATATGTATGAATTTTTAAAACTTAAATGGATAATATACTCAACTTTTTAATATATATACATATGTATATATATGTATGAATTTTTAAAACTTAAATGGATAATATACTCAACTTTTTAATATATTATACATATGTATATATATGTATGAATTTTTTTACTTCTATAATATGGATATAGATTTCCGTATTCCTTTTTTTTTTTATCAGCTAGATGAGCATTAACTTTCATCCACATTGCATGAACATCATCTTGTGGTAACTCATTTGGATTAATTGCACATGCCTTTTCCATACATTCTCTATATTTTATATCCACATCACATGGAATTGGTTTAATAACATCTTGTATTTTCAGATATGGTTTTTCTTTTATACATACTACTTGGTAAATATCAGATATCCACCTTATTTTTGGAATTATTTTTCTCCTGACTGGGATAGGCACAAATGTGTCTCTAAATTTTAAAACAGGAATTTCTATATTAACAACTACAGGTTTGGGAACCATATATGGCACTGGAACATCAACAGAAATAGGAACATGCTTTTGAACTTCTATATTTTTGACAATTTTAGGTCTAAAAACTTGCTCAATACTTGGTGCTGGTAATATAGAACTACTTTTTTTTAGTTGCATCATTGATAATTCATTTTGTAAACCAAAAGAAGGGAATGCACCAGATTTTGTTTGTCTATAATCTTGCATAGATTTAGTAAATATATTGGAATTCATCCCTGGAGTACTAATAGATGGAACATATTTGTTATATATTGCATTTTGTTGTAAAAATTCTCCTTGATTCATGTCGATAGGAGCACTTTTAATTAATCTTGTTCCATTGATATTATCTGTTGGTGTATTTAAATCACCACTTGCTATATTTTGGGTAGATTCTTCTTTATATTCTCCTTTTTTTTCTTTTGTTTCATTTTCACTATTAACAACATCTGAAGATTCTTCATATAGATTATTTTCATTTACATCTTTAGTTTGCTGCTGATCCTCATTTACCTTTTCTTTATATTCACTTTTATCTTTCGGAATATACCTAAAAATTACATAAAAAATAGAATGAAGATATATATATTTTTTCTATGCAATATAATATATTAAATTGATAGATGTATAGAATAAAATTATAAACAAATAACTGATTCCATAATATTTATTTCAGACGTATATAAAAGAATAAAGTACTAAACTTTATTTTAATTTAGAAAATTTTAAAAATATAGAAGATATAAGTATCTAATAAAAAATATTTCTGAAAAAAAAAAAAAAAAAAAAAAAATAAAAATAAAAATAAAACATTACTTTACAATATATTCCACAGTTTCCACTTCTTGATATCTTTGTACTTCTTTTATTTTAGGAACTTCTACAATTTTTTCTACAATTTTTTTTTCATAAACTGGTTTTTTAATAATATTTTCTTTTACTTCAACTTTTGGAATATATTTGAAGTAATATTGAATATGTGGTACATCAACAATTTTGTCAACATATTTTATTTCTGGAACCTCAACAACCTAAAAGAAGAAGGGAAAAAAAAGGAAAAATGGTAATGTTATAATTATATATACTTAAAAAAAAAAAAAAAGTAAAATAAGAAATTAAACAAGTATAAAAAAAAAAATTGTAAAAATAATGAATAAACATCATACATGCTAAAATATATTAAAACATAAAATAAATTAAAAAATGTAAATTATCCAGAATAAAAAAAAATATTCTACCTTTTCAACAATTTTAGAATAATATTTTGGAATTTCTTTAATTTTGTTTTCATATGTTATTTTAGGAATAGTAGTTTCTATTGTTCTAACGAAGGGTACCTCAACAGTTCTGGTTACAACATCAACTGGCTGATAAGCAGTTATAGCCACCTTTAAAAAAAAAAAAAAAAGAAAATAATGAATGTTTTCATAAAGTCTCTTTTACATAATCGTAAATGAATTAATATATATATATATATATATATATATATATATATATATATATATATATATATATATATATATATATATATATATGTAAAAGGGGAAAAAATAATTATATTTTACATATTCTCTCTCAGTACGCTGACTTATTTCAACAGCTTTCGAAAGATCTGGTTCTCCTTCTATAATTTTTGTTAAATCTCCTTTTTCTTTTGTTAGAGTTTCCTCATATAGTTTTTCATTTTCTTTATTTATGCTTGTTCTTGTTTCATTACCTTCTTCCAGACAACTACTTTTTACTTGGCATTTATTAAACATTTTTTTTCTTCAAAATAATAAAAATGTAGACATCAATTATAATAATAAGTTATATTGTGAAATCTTTAAATTATATATTTTTTTTTTTTTTTTAATTAAAAGTTTAGAACAGTTTCAAAACTAAAAATATAAAAAAATACAATGTTAAAAAAATGTTTATATAAGATATTCTTATTACTAAAATTATTCTAAAATATTTATAGAACTAATAAATATATATATATATATATATATATATATATATATATATATATATATATATATATATATTTATATTTATTTCTATATTTAATTCTTCTTTTTTTTTTTTTACTTTTATTTCTTTTTTTAGCAATAATTATGTTATTTTTTTCATTTATAAAAGAGACAAAACGTTTGATGGATAAAATCTTAAAATGACTAATTTTTTCATATAGGGAAATATATTCTTTCTAATCAACATTAATTTTAAAAATAATTATTATTAGTTGCAGTACACACATGCATTAATTATTTACAACAGCACTTATAAATAATTTTTCTTTTGTTTTTTTTTTTTTTTTTTTTTTTTTATTAAATTTATATTTAA